GATTCCATGCAACTGCTCGTTCCTCTCGGCTAGCCCGCTCCACTCAGCCACCTGAGCCGCCGACATCGCACAGAGCAAGCCGATGATGGCCGATGCATCAACAAAGCGGATTTTAAGCGAAAGTTGGGAGATCGGATTGCGCGCGAGTTTGTGGGGCCGAAAGAGACGCACCCGCTGCATTTGCGGCCGTCGTTGCCGGCTTGGCGCGCAAAGGCTGATCGATCCTTTCAGGATAGCCGTCCTTGAGATGGCTCGGCACTCTGCGCAGCCGATGCTCTTTTTCACGCAACGAGCCTCGTCGGCAGCACCTCGATGTATGCTTCTGATTCGTTGTAGCTCGAAGCGTAGAAGCATCCATTGCCGAGGCACGTCCGATCTTGCCGCCAAATCGAGCTTGTTCGGCCTGATCGAGGTAGATGTTGTGTTGGGCGTCACTTGGCGGCGAATGGCCGATGAAGAATGCGGGGTGTGTTCACTCTGCTGATCGGTCAAGGCGCGACCGATGGCGACAACAGACGACCGAAGCAGATGCGAGGGTTCACCCGATGCAGAATGGATGCCAGTGTTCTGCGCGATCACATCAATGAGCAGGCCGAATGAATCGGAGATCGCGGTCTGAGTCTGTACCTGTGATGAGCGTGCTTCGGTAGGCTCAGATAAGTGAGAGCGTGAGAAGAATTGATTATCGCGGGCAGATGCTGCCCCTTTGGGTGATCTGGCGTGGTGACACACCCATGCAATCCTGTCAAATTGATGAGGTGGGCGCCGGTTGGGGGCGATTAGATTGGATCGATGGGGAGGCGGGGCTGTCAAAAAAGGCCCTCATTTCGCTCTGCTGGCTTGTCGGACCGGGATCCGAATCACGGCTCAGTGCAGCAAGGCTGAGTGGCTTCGGCAAATTCAAAGGGCTGGCATTCTCTTTTACGCCGCACTGGTCGGGCGACCGCAGCGATTTCTTCGGATGAGGGCTGAAGAAAGAGAGCTGAGTTGCAAAAGGCGACAATCAAGGTCGCCGCCCACGCGGGCTTGCATGCGGCTGGCTGTGGCTGGCCCGCAAGCGGTCGCAACGGCTCGATTGGTGCCGATCAGGAGTCCAGTGTCCCCTGGAATTTCATGCTCAGCTCGTACCCTCTTCGCCCCTGTCCGGCGATTCACACAGGCGAGATCTGCCGCGTGCGTGCAGCAGCCACGAGGAACCAACCCGCTAGCCTGGTTGCAGCTCGCCGATGCCGCGTACAGGATGCTGCTCGGAGCCGTTTCGTCCGCTCGCTCTGTGAACCAGGCGTGCTTTCAACTGGACGCGTCCGCTTCGCGTACAGCCGAGTCGTGTTTGTCACGCCAACTGAGACAGGCGGTCGCAATGCCTTTGTCTCTAGAAGAATGGCACAAACATTCCACTCTCCCGCGCTCTCAAGACAGCGAACAGAATGCTAGTGGCACCTCCAATCCGGCCGAAAGGAACACATTTCAGCGGCAGCTCTCCGCTGCATGCCGCAAACTCGCTTTCTTTCCGCTAGGAAGCTAAATTTATGCCTTCTCGCCCGGCTGCTCTGCACCATTCCGAGCCATTGAGCAGACTATGAACCCGCGCTAGCAAGGTAGCTCTGCCGGCTGGAGAGCATGGCGATGTCGCCTGCCGATCGAAAACAATATCCACCAAGCCGAGCAATCTCGATCCGCTTCACGCCTCGGCTCGCTGTGAGCCCAAATACAGTACGACAATGATTAGCACACTCCGATCAAGCGAGCTGAGGTCAGATGTCAACGCACGCGGGCATAGCATCTGCTCTAGAGAGCTGCTCGACTGTATTTGGAGTGGTGAGGGCACTACAAATCGGCGCTGCAGCCAGTTCAACGAGACGCACCCCGAAAATCGTGAAATACAAATTTAAGCTTCGTTTGCGTCGGCTCGCTTGCAAGTGTGTGATGGGCACGAGGCTGCGAAGCCGTACCTGACCGGCCTCTGGGTTGGAGGAGCGGAAGCGGCAGCGTGCGGCTCTTCTGGCTCAATCCTCCGAGTCGATCAATCCAAGCCACGATTTCACAAAGTCGCCGCTGCCCAGCCACGAAATCCGGTCTTTCCACACAATAGCGAGCCTATGAGCGTCGTCTACCGATCCGATATTCACCCGCTGGCTATGCTCGGCGTTGACGACGCCAAGCCACATGAAAACTTTGAGGAAATGAGTGAGTTGTGACTGTGAAAGACGAGGCGGTATCGGTATCACCGAAGCACGACAGAGCAGCGATGCGATCCGGCAAAGCCAAACTCGTGAGGTTGACACACGCCAAACCCTGAGCCCCAGCGGTCTCAGACTTATTGGGCGGCCGCGGGGAAGGTATCGTTCAGCACGTGCCGGTTGCGTACGGCATGCGGAAGGCAACGCGCCGGTGCAACGGCACGAACGAGGGGACTGTTTTTGACTGTCCATGGTCACCGGCCGCAATCAGATCGACTCGAGTGTGGGAACAATCAATTAATTTCTGTATTCGCCGCAGCGTTTTGCGACCAGCTGTGCACAGAGGGTTGGCCCGCAAAGGTCCGTCTACAGCCCGAAATCGCACACCATCGTTCCGAGATCGCAAAGCACTCGTTGACGAGGTGACGCTAGGAATAGACCCTGTGAACTTCTATAAGCTGAGCGTGGTTCTGCTTGGCCATAGTAGCTGCCAAACAGGAGGCGTGATCTTAGAGCAAGGGCGACTTCGATCGAAGGTCAGGGGTTTCGCACGTCACACGCTTGCTGAGCCATGCGATCGACAGGGTCGAGCGGCCAACTGACATGTCGGGTCCATGTAGGGGTCGTGGGACGCGATGGTGTCGACTCAGGGGCAGCAGGGGCACTATCTGACGAAGCCTGTCCACCGATGCAAAGCCCGGTGCCGCAGTCAGACCGGCAAGAGACGACCCTCGTTCCTGCGTTGGCTGCAGCCAAGACAGGAACACGAGAAATCCTGCGCCATCCCGAATTTAACCAAAAAATCGGTCGAAGTTTGGGTTTCGACGTTGGCGCTGCAACCCGCTCCTTGCGCCCGGTCGGACGCACAGCGCTGCCCTTGCGCCTACATCGAGGGCGGCTCACTCAGAAATCTAGCCTGCATATCGCAGCTCTCCCACGCTTTGACCTGCCAACCAAGCTGGGACCTCCTATTTGCATGTCGGTGCCTCGCATTTTGCTTTGGCTGCTGGCGTGTGCCAGATACAGACTTCGGTCAAGCTTGTGACTACGCCAGCTAACGCAGTCTTTACCCGCTGTAGGCTAACGCAGTCTTTACCCGCTGTATGGGCTGCAATTCCAAAGAATGCGAAATGAGATGCCAAAGATGAGCCATCATTGGCAAATAATGAACTAGGCTGTCCGAGCGGGGTAGGCAGCATCGTTGGCTGCAGAGCCACTCTCATACCCAAGGACAGGGGTCAATCGTCGAGGGCGGCCGAGCGTTCACCGAGCTCGACGAGCAAAATCTGGCCGAGCCACCCTTGATTTTAGCTCGACCTGACACTGGTGAGCACTGGTGGGGATCTCCGGTCGATCCTTTTGTTTCCCAGCCAGACAAGCTCTCAAGAGGCCATGCGTGGCTTGATGGTGGCTTCTGTGTGCGCATGAATTGCAATGGCGCGTCTGAGAGCCGAAAAAAGCTTCGCGGAGATCGCCGCTAGGAGGCCTAAGCGAGGCAGCACCGGTCGATCCTTCGGATTGCCACGCTTCCGAGCGAGCAGATCGCGAGGCGGCTGCCCTGGCTTCAATATCGAAAAGGGCGACAATTTCGCAATTTCAACCAGAGAATTCGTGAAACCCGAGGTTGACCCAAGGCAGAAAAATAAGGCAGCATCATCAAAATTTTCACGTTGAATTTCCCAACAGCTGCGAACGTGAGACAGGCTGTGAACAGGCAGAAAGGCGATTTCACACGAATCGATTTTGCACAAAATCCGAAAACGAAAAACAACAATTTTTATTTTCGCTGAAATCGGTGCGAGCTCAGGCCGACGCGCGAGGTGTCCCCTCTTTTTTTGTCTGGCACGCGATGGTCGCGTGGCAGTTGGAAATGCCGCTGAGTGCACCCCCAATTTCTGGCGGCGCCAGCTGAGGTCTGTCAAGCAACGCCGACCAGACCTAGTTGGGCTGCCGCCGCAACCACCTGCCCCGAGAACGGCGTGTGACGGCAGTGTCTGGCGTGACTGCGGCTCCGGTTCCAGTCGTGGGCCGGCAAGACGGTGCAGCTGCCTGTCTGCCCGTCGGCATTGGAGTCACGCCGCCGTCTGGCGCCGTGCCCTTTGTTGACCCGGCTGGCCGTCCCTGTCGGATACCGCAACGGCGTTGTCTCGGTGCTCTCTGGCCACGCAGTCCTTCCGTCGTCGTCGCTGGCGCCGGCTCCAAAATTTCGGGGTGCTACCTTCTAACTTCTCCCCTTCTTGGCTGCTGAGCTCGATATGCACGATCCATGGACCCTGCTCGTCGCTACCTCGTCGCCGTGACCGGTCGGACTGTGGCATGCACTCCCCTCCTTTTCGCTCCATTTTCTAGGGTTCATCCTGCCCGAAAAAACTTTCAGCAGCTCTGATCCCTAGCCTTGGTCAACCGGTCCCAAGGGCCCCTGTCTGCCGTCGATGCTGGTCGATCCCCCTCTCGTACCCCGCCACCCTCGGCCAAATCAGCAGTGTCACGGGCATTTCTGGGATCTGCGACGTCCATGAGCCCGACACTGTCGATCCGCCTCTTTGGCCCCCTTTGTTCGCCGTAGAGAACTTTTGCCCTTCGTTCGGAGACAGCTTCTGTGCTTCATGCCGCCTCTCCCAGCTTCGGCAAATGCCAGGAACACCGTACTCGCTCGCCCCTCGTACAGCGTGAATCTGTAGCATGGACCGCCGCAAATCGGTTCGCACTCGGAACCTCCCATAAAAGGTCAACCTATCGAGCCTTCTCATTCTCGTCCCCCATCAATCCTCCCATCTCATCTCTACACCTACTCCCACAGGTCCTCATCCTTCATTCACAATGATCGCTTCCAACGTTCTTGCTATCGCCCTCGCCGCCGCTGGCGCCGCCGCCGCCCCTCTTGCCAAGCGCTCGAGCGGCCAGGCCACCTACTACGCCGCTGGTCTTGGTAAGTACCATTCTTGCGAGCCTGCATTTGATCTCATCGCCACGGCACAGCAGCTGACCACGGCCACACCTCCATCTTACCTACTTCCCTCACAATAGGTGCCTGTGGTTGGACCAACTCTGGCTCTGACTTCATCGTCGCCATGAACGCCCCCGAGTGGGCCGGCGGTGCTCACTGCGGTCAGACCGTCACCATCACCAACAACAAGAACGGCAACACCCAGACCGCCCAGGTCGCCGACCTCTGCCCCGGCTGCAGCTGGGGTTCGCTCGACATGTCGACCAGCCTCTTCTCCGCCCTGAACAACGGCAACATGGACGACGGTGTCTTCCCCATCTCGTGGTCGTTCGGCTCCGGCTCGTCCGCCTCGAACAACAACAAGCAGCAGCAGCAGCAGCAGCAGCAGGCCCAGGCCACCTCGTCGACCTACACCCCCGAGGCCACCTACACCAAGTCGTCCACCCCCTCGGCCACCCCCACCCCCTCGTCGGTCACCTACAGCCAGCCCGCTGCCCCCACCTCGACCTCGTCGTACGCTCCCCAGCCCGCTTCGTCGTCCAACTCCAAGACCGTCGTCTCGACCCCCGAGTGGTGGGCTGACGTGAACAATGCCTGCGGTGTCAAGCTCGACGCTGGCTCGCTCCCCATCGCCATCTCCTCCTCGGCTCTCCTCGCCGCCGACAAGCTTTCGGACGCTTGCGGCAAGTGGATTCAGATCAAGAACAACCAGAACGGCAAGGAGCTCTCCCTCCAGGTCGTCAACTACTGGGCCGGTGCCGAGGGTGACGTCGCCCTTGGCGAGGCTTACAAGCGCCTTGCCAACAACTACGAGAACCCCGAGACCATCGAGTCCGTCACCTGGGGCTTCATCGACGGCCAGGGCCTCTAAGTCCCTTCCTTCCTGCTTCTTCTCAGTCCGGTTCCCTCATAGACATGGCAGCGCAGTCGTAGGCACGATGCAGTCGTGGGCCCTTTGATAGGGCCCGGGCGCATCGACGCACTCCTGTGTTCGCCTCTTTTCCCCACCTCCCTCTAGATGGCTCTATTTCTCTCTTCTCTCGTTCTCTCGCATTATGGGCTTAGTATTTGTATCCTACCACTTTCATACGCTCGCCGATGTTTTCTCCTTCACTGGAGACCATTCGTGTACACGAGCGATTTCACAGCCCAAGCGCTTCCAGCAAGCCTTGGGCAACTCCTCTGCTTTCGTCTTCTCGCGTTGCTTGTCACCGAGTTGCTAATCGAAAAAATTGGCGTCCAGCCAAGTATCCCATATATCCAAACTTGTGTGCATGTCCGCTTGCTTGCTCGATGGTATTAGATCGTAAGATGGCGCGGCGATATCGTGATGCCGAGAAGTAGCAGGGCCGCCCGCCAACTAGCGCGGACCCGCCGCGTTTGGAAAAGCAAGGATCGGGCTATCGGGAAGATTGAGCAACGATGAGGACAAAGCGCGCCCGGCACGCTGACCGAAAAGCTCGTTCCGATTGGCTGGCTGTGGATTTTGAGGCGCGTGCGCGCAACAGCGAGACAGAGAGAGAGGCGATCATGCTGAAAAATGTGAAAATCAGAGTCACACGGGCGCACTTTGGCTGTGCCAAAAGAGAGCAGGTGGGTTTGGCGGCTTTGCTGTTGAAAGGTCCGCTTCCGGAAGGCCAGCACCGACCTGAGCCGGATTGCACTTCGCCTTGTCCCCGCAATCCCACGTCACACAAGTTGTTCTTGTGGAAAGGCATCGTCCTGGCACCATCGCACCGGCAAGCACATCGTTCCGACAGCCGCTGCGCCAGCCCCGCACACGGACATCCGAACGCTTTCAGCTTTGCCATCGCCTGCTTCCCGTCCACCACATCACCCCACCATCACCACATCGCTTGTCCGGTGGCGAATCACTCTTCTTCGCGCATCAAGAAAACTACGGCCCATCACGGCGCTCGAGCCTTGTCTCTTTGCTTGTCACACGAATCTTCCCCTCGAATACCTCACAGGACACCATGTTTGCGGCACGCGCGACACGGGCCTCGCCTGCTCGACTGGCAGCGAGCGCTCTCCGCAATGGCGCTCTCAGTCGTGCCAGTCGGTCCATCCACCCCGTCGCGTCCACTTCCGGCTCGTCGGCTTCTCTCTCCACCCTGACTCGCGCCAGCCCAGCTGCTACGGCCGGCTCTTCCCTCGCGCGCGCCTTCTCGACATCTTCGGTGGTTCGTCGCGCCACTCCTATCGAGGAGGGCGACGGAGAGCCCTTCGACCTGACGACCGTCGAGCGTGTCTCGGACGAGGTCGACGTCATCATCGTCGGCGGTGGCCCCGCCGGTCTGAGTGCGGCCATCAAGATCAAGCAGCTCGCCGAGCAGCGCGGCGAGGAGATCCGCGTCGTCGTTCTCGAAAAGGGCCCAGAGGTGGGTAACCACATCCTCTCTGGCGCCGTGATCCAGACGAATGCGCTCGAAGAGCTCTTCCCCGACTGGAAGGAGCTCGGTGCTCCGCTCAACCAGCCCGCGCTCCAGGACCAGATGCGCTTCCTCACCCCCACCGGCTCCATCCCCATGCCGCATCCCCCACAGATGTCCAACAAGGGCAACTACATTGTGTCGCTCTCGCGCGTCGTCTCGTGGCTCGGCGAGCAGGCCGAGGCAGCCGGTGTCGAAATCTACCCGGGCTTTGCTGCCGCTCAGCCCTTGTGGCAGATGGACGACAATGGAAAGCCGATCGGCATCAAGGGTGTCATCACCAACGAAATCGGCCTCGACAAGTCGCGCAAGCCCAAGGATTCGTTCGAGCCAGGCATGGAGTTCCACGCTCCCATCACCCTCTTCGCCGAGGGCGCGCACGGCTCCATGACGCAGAAGATGATCAGGCAGCTCGGCCTGCGCGACCAGGTGGGCGCCGACCCACAGACCTACGGCCTTGGCGTCAAGGAGGTGTGGCGCGTCAAGCCCGAGAAGCACCAGGCCGGTCTCGTGACGCACACGATGGGATGGCCGCTCGACCCGAGCACCTACGGCGGTAGCTGGATGTACCACATGGAGGACAACATGGTCTCGATCGGTCTCGTTGTGGGCCTCGACTACCAGAACCCCTACCTGAGCCCCTTCCGCGAGTTCCAGCGCATGAAGCACCACCCCTTTTTCAAGGACATCCTCGAGGGTGGAGAGTGTCTCGCCTACGGCGCCAGGACGCTCAACGAGGGTGGCTACCAGTCGATCCCCAAGCTGCATTTCCCTGGTGGTGCGCTCGTTGGCTGTGCTGCCGGATTCCTCAACGTGCCCAAGATCAAGGGCACGCACAACGCAATGAAGTCGGGCATGGTCGCCGCCGAGGCGGTGGTGGAGGCACTGGCCAAGCGCGCCGAGTCCGGCTCCGAGGAGTCGATCGACCTGGCCGACTACAAGACGCGACTGGACGACACGTACGTGATGAAGGAGCTGTACGAGGTGCGCAACCTGCGCCCTTCGTTCAACGGCCCGCTGGGCTTCTGGGGTGGCCTGATGTACTCGGGCCTCGACTCGATGATCCTCAAGGGTCGCGTGCCCTGGACGTTCCACCACCACGGCGAGGACCACGCGCAGACCAAGCCGGCGTCGCAGTGCGAGCCGATCGAGTACCCCAAGCCGGACGGCAAGCTGTCGTTCGACATCCTCACCTCGGTGTCCAGGACGGGCACCAACCACGCCGAGGACCAGCCGGTGCACCTCGTGGTCAAGGACGGCGATTACAAGGGCCACGTCGAGAGGAATGTGGGCACCTTTGAGGGCCCGCTCGGCCGCTGCTGTCCCGCAGGCGTGTACGAGTATGTCGAGGCGGATTCGCCCGACCAGGAGCACGCGCTGGGCCAGAAGCTGGTGATCAACAGCCAGAACTGCATCCACTGCTACACCTGCTCCATCAAGACGCCCGACCAGAGCATTCGATGGGACGTGCCCGAGGGCGGAGGAGGACCTAAGTACTCGATGACCTGATCGCTCCTTGGCTCCTCCTTTCGCATAGCCCTGTCCGTCTCAATCAAACTCTCGCATTGAAATCAACATACTTGTCGCTAGAAAGTGGGCTGGGCACGGGCTGTGATTGGAACTACAAGTACATGAGGCATGAGCTGGAAGACGGCATATTGATGGGAGACCGAGTGTCTATTCCGGCTTTGGGTCAACGACGATGGCAAAGTTGTTGCGGTTGGTGCCTGGGTTGATGTCGCGCTTCTTGAATGCGGTGCCGTCCCAGTCTGCGGAGGCGGCGGGGTTTTCCGAGGCCTCTGCAGCGGCCGTGCGTTCTGCGAGGGGTTTGGCCTGGAGGAGCCAGCGGGAGAGCTTGGCGGAATCCGACTGCTTGAGCACGTCGAATCCGAGCGAGCTGAGGATGGCGCGGAGGTGCGACTGGTTCATGTAGCGCGAGTTGGTGAGGCAGCTGAGCGGGAGAACGAGGAAGCAGAATCCAGGCACGCCCTCGGCGGTGGGCAGATACTTGTGGACATGACGGAGCATCTCACCGCGCTTCCTCACGTCGCCGACAAAGTTGATGACGAGGCTGAGGGCGACCATGTTGAACTTTTCGTCGTCCTTGGTAGGCACGGGGAAGTCGAAGAAGCTGTACTTCTGCACATTTTCGCCTTGCGGATGCAGATCGATCGAGGTGGCATCGACCCAGCGGTACTTGTTGTAGGCGGTGCCTGTGATGGCGCCGACGTCGAGCACACGGAACTTGGGCTGGTTGCGGTCGTGCTGGTAGACGGTGTTGAGCGCCTCCATGCACCATTTGCTGGTGGGCGTCTGGCCGGCCTTGGCGGAACCGGTGAGCGACCACGCCTGGTACTGCGCCAGACCTCCGAGCGAGTCGAGCCCCGACTGAATCTGCTCCTTTTCTTCCGCCGTCGTCGCCTGCTCGAGCTGCTTCAAGAGCGTGTGGAACTTGGCAATCTTTTCGGCGTGTTCCGCAGGAGGCACCGGGGCCGCCGATCCGTCAACGCTGGCACCGCCATCTTGGTCAGCACCGGCGTTGGTCTTGGCCTTGCGCGACTCCTTGAGCGCAGCCTTCTGTATCGCCGTGTTCTGTGCAGCGCCGCCTTTGCGATGCTTGACACCGCCACGCTTGCCTCGGGGTCGGATGAGCTTGCCCTTCTTGGCACCAGCAGCCTGGGCGTCGCCGCTGTCGGCCGCATCGACGGCTACATCGACGGCTGCAGCGGGCTCTGCCTTCTGGTGCTGAGTCGGCTTTTTTCCCTTGGTTCTCGACATATTTCCGACAGAAGATGGGATACGGGTGTGGTGGTGGCTCCACGAGCGTTGATCCTGGCCAGGACGAGCCCTCAAGGCCAGGCTACACGAGCACTGACCCTTCTCGACAGGGTCCACTCGACGCCAGCCCGCACAGCACGCCCGCTTGGCTGCTGGCTCTTTCCAGCGCCGCTGCGGGCTGGCAAGTGGATTTTTTTGAAAATTTTGGAAGAAAAGAATTGTGCAGAGCTCGCCACGCTGCACTGTCGCGTTCATGAAAGCTGCTCCACATCGCTCCACCGAAAAGGCGATGAACCGAGAGAGCCGGCTGCAACCGCACCTGTCATGGGCGGCTGCTGCTGCTGCTGCTGTTGCTGCTCAGGGCCAGTGGCAGAGATCAGTCCGATCTTCTCGGACGGAGCAGGACCTGAAAATTAACATCCGCACTTCCGCCGATGAGCGAGCGCGCATCATCCGCTCAGCAGGCCCAACGGCAATTCCACGGCCAACCGTTCGGCCTCTCTCCCTCCACCACGTTCTCTTCTCTTGATCATAGTCCAGCCTAGCCCTTCATCCGCATTGCATCCGCATCGGTACAGAAGGCAGCCACGATGAAGACCTCGCAGATCGTTCTCACCTCGCTCTCCGTGCTCGGCGTCGCGGGCATTGGATACGCCGTCTACTTTGACCACCGCCGTCGCACCGACGCGACATTCCGCAAGAACCTGCGCAAGGAGAGCAAGCGCACCTCCAAGGCCGAAAAGAAGGCAGCCGCAAAGCGCACCCAGCAGGAGGACGGCTTCATTGAGGAGCTCTTACAGGAGGTGCGTGCTCCCGGCGCCTTCCCCTCCGGCGTCGAGGAGCGCGAGCAGTACTTCCTCAAGTACGTCTCGCTCGGCGAGCAGCTCTTCGCCATGGGCACCGACAGGTACCTCGACGCCGCAGCTGCCTTCTTCAAGGCGCTCAAGGTGTACCCGCAGCCCGTCGAGCTCATCATGATCTACCAGAAGGCTGTGCCCAAGGAGGTGTTTGACACCATCATGCGCATCGTCAGCAAGGAGATCGCAACGGGCGGCGCCGCAGAGGGCATGTCGGCTGAGAACCTCGACGAGGTCGATGACGATGGCCCGTCGCAGCTTGACGCATCCAAGGACGAGAAAAACGAGGATGACGACGAGGAGGCTGAAGCCAAGGTCGATGCCGCAGCGACGGAAGACAAGGATGCTTCCGCTAGCGCTTCTTCGGCAACTCCCGCGGCGGCGTCCGCCCCTCGCCAGGGCACTGACAGCGGCACCACCTCGAGCCAGGAGTGGGACACCCTTTCGGCCACCAGCCTCAACGAGACCGGCGTTATGGTCACGCCCAACGCGCCCGCCTCCGCTGCTTCCGAGAGCCCCGACACAAAGGAGGCCGCACCGACGCCGTCGGCCGACGAGCTCAAGCCGCCTAGCATCGACACCTCCGCCTCCGTCACCCAGTCCAGCACTCAGCAGCCCACCACACCATCCAAGCAGAACTTCACCTCGGGATGGAGCCCCGCGCCTGTCTTTGGTGCCTCCAGCCCGCTCGCCGAGAAGAAGGCGACCGTCGAGGCCGGCTCGGACGACGAGGCCCAGGACAAGTCCGAGTAGGCGCTCATCCGCGCATTCGAGACGCTTTCGCCTCCGCCACAAAAAGCAGTCGCCCTACCGGCTCTCCTGCCCATCTGCTTTTGCAGCACGTGATGTCGGTGCGAAGTCAGAACAGCGTCAGCAGCGGCAGCTGTTGTCGTGCTCGCTAGCTTCTGCATCCCTTCGCTTGGATGCACACCTCTTCCTTCCATCTGCTGTTCCGTAGCCCTTTCCTCTCAGACGTATTGCAGCCTGTATCAACTCTCATGCTTTTTGCATTATTAAGCCCCGCTCATCTCCACGTGTGCCACTCCTGCGCCCCAGGACCGCTGAATGAGCGACTTTGAGTGGCTACACTTCTTCCTCCGTTGCTTCAATCCGCTAAGACGCTGCATTAGAGGCTGTTTCCAGCGTCAATCCTCTCCACAATTGAGATCAATAAATCCCGCAAACATGCTGAAGGCTTATGAGTGCAAATGTGCTTTCTCGCCCGAAAACGCTCGCTCCGGTGGCCAAGTTGGATTAAGGCATGTGGCTTATGTTTCTCAGGCGTCGTCCCCGCGTCGCGCCCTCGAGTTCATGGGGTTTTATCGCAGAAAGCAATTTCTATTAAACCGCGAGATCGTGGGTTCGAGTCCCACTCGGAGCAACTATTTTTGAAAATACCTTTGCATTTCGTATTCGCGTGCCGCCGTAGATAAATTAAGTGGATTTGTTAGGCCGTTGTCGGCAGATTGGCACATGAATCTGGCGAAGGTCACAGAAGAAACCCGAAGCTGACTGCCATGCAGACGGAAAAAAAAGTCGACCGAAAACGGTTCCTCTTTTTTTTTTTTTGGTCTCCGAAAAGAAACCGGGCAGCAAAATGGTGCACCTAAATCGGCGACGGAAAACAAATTACAGACTGCAAATCAAGCCGATTGTACCCGATGGACGGCCCTTCTCTTTGCTACAATCCTCTTCAATGTACAGCCGGGCGTTACTCGCATCGATTGAGCACTGATCTTGGCTGAGAAGGTGTGCCAAGCACCCACTCGCAGAACTCGGTGGTCGGCCAAAGTCACATTTCGTTGGCTTAGGGAGGCAGTGTGGAGGGCACTGTTGGCGCAATCCCCCACTTCAAGCCTCTCGAGGCGCACAATTACGTTGGCTGCCTGCCTCAAGAAGAAACGGATCGCTTTGCTGAGCTGAGTCGAGTCAATTCTCGCAAAATCCAGCCTCTATCAAATTTTGTCGGCCCTGTCGGCTTGCTTTGATCACCAAAGAAATGCACCGAAGCTCTGCCTCCTCGCTGAGCAGGCGGTCTGATCCACGCCCCGATCAGGAAGAGCGCAGCCAGTGGCCGTTGCCCCCCCGCCACCGATTTCTTCCAGTTTCTCTGTGCGCCTCGCGCTGGCCTCCCTGCGAGCTACTCCCGGTGGCCGTCCGTCTGAGCCCGGCTCGTTTCGCTGCGCCTCGAAACCCGGCTCCAACTCCACCCGCATTTTTCTTCCTTCTTATTCGTCACGTCCCAGCGTACACTCGTCCGCCCGTCCCCAGTCAGCTCAGCACCCGCACTCAGCACTGCGATTTTTCCCTTTGCCGCTCAATACCCCGTTCAACCTCCTTCTCTCCTCTCTCTCCTCCATCACCGTTCCGTCTCATACCCCCCTCCGCATCTCATACACAGCCATGTTCTCTCGTGGTATCCGCGCCGCCGCCCCGGCAACAAGGCTGTTGAACCAGCCCCTGCGCTCCGCCGCTCCCGGTGTTGCCGTAAGTACTGCCATCCGAATAGGCAACGTCAGCGAAGTCCGCAACGCGTGCATTGCCTCGTGACGCATACTCGCCACTTTGGTCCGGTCGGCGAGGAACGAGTACTGACCTGACCATCCTCTCTGTGGACTTTCTGTTCTGCTTTGTTTCTGGCTTTCACAGCGTCTGGCACCCGTTGGCGCCCGATTCAACTCTGGCAAGGTCTCCGGCCCTGTCATCGGTATCGACCTGGGAAGTGAGTATTTTGCGTTCCTAGTAGAAGATGCTGAATCGACGGGAATCCGCGGTTCGGAAGCTTCGGTAGCGAGCACAGGTTGCTGGCCTCCATTTGCAGCGAGCAGAACCGAAAACTGACGCTTTTGCCCGCTCTGTTTCTCCACCAAAACAGCCACCAACTCGTGTGTCTCTGTCATGGAGGGTCAGCAGGCCCGTGTCATCGAGAACTCGGAAGGTGGCCGTACCACCCCCTCCGTCGTCGCCTTCACCAAGGATGGCGAGCGTCTCGTTGGTCTCCCCGCCAAGCGCCAGGCCGTCGTCAACCCTGAGGCCACCCTTTTCGCCACCAAGCGTCTCATCGGCCGCAAGTTCCAGGACAAGGAGGTCCAGAAGGACCTTAACAACGTCCCCTTCAAGATCGTTCCCCACTCCAACGGCGATGCCTGGCTCGAGGCCCGTGGCGAGAAGTACTCGCCCTCGCAGATCGGTGCTTTCGTCGTCGGCAAGATGAAGGAGACCGCCTCCGGCTACCTCGGCAAGCCCGTCAAGCACGCCGTCATCACCGTCCCCGCTTACTTTAACGACTCGCAGCGTCAGGCCACCAAGGACGCCGGTGCCATCGCCGGTCTCGACGTCCTCCGTGTCATCAACGAGCCCACTGCCGCCGCGCTCGCCTACGGTCTCGACCGTGACGACTCGTCGGTGATTGCCGTCTTCGACCTGGGTGGAGGTACCTTCGATATCTCGATTCTCGAGATGCAGAAGGGCGTCTTCGAGGTCAAGTCGACCAACGGTGACACCCACCTTGGTGGTGAGGACTTCGACATTGTCCTTGTCGAGCACCTCGTCAGCGAGTTCAAGAAGGAGTCCGGCCTCGACCTCTCCAAGGACCGCATGGCCATCCAGCGTATCCGTGAGGCCGCCGAGAAGGCCAAGATCGAGCTCTCCAGCGCCCAGTCGACCGACATCAGCCTGCCCTACATCACCGCTGACGCCTCGGGCCCCAAGCACATCAACTCCAAGATGTCGCGTTCCCAGCTCGAGGGCCTCGTCGGCAAGCTCGTCGACCGCACTGTCGAGCCATGCAAGAAGGCGCTCTCGGACGCCGGCTGCAAGCCATCGGACATCCAGGAGGTCATCATGGTCGGTGGTATGAGCCGTATGCCCAAGGTCCTCGAGACCGTCAAGAACATTTTCAAGCGTGACCCCAGCAAGGGTGTCAACCCTGACGAGGCTGTCGCCATCGGCGCTTCCATCCAGGGTGGTGTGCTTTCCGGCCAGGTCACCGACGTTCTGCTGCTCGACGTTACCCCGCTTTCGCTCGGTATCCAGACGCTCGGCGGTGTCTTCACTCGTCTGATCAACCGCAACACCACCATCCCCACCAAGAAGTCGCAGGTCTTCTCGACCGCCGCCGACGGCCAGACCGCCGTCGACATCCAGGTCTACCAGGGCGAGCGTGAGCTCGTTCGCGACAACAAGCTGCTCGGCAACTTCCAGCTCACCGGCATCCCCCCCGCGCCCAAGGGTGTCCCCCAGGTCGAGGTCACCTTCGACATTGACGCCGACGGTATCATGCACGTCTCTGCGCTCGACAAGGCCACCAACAAGGACCAGTCCATGACCATCTCGGCCGGTTCGGGTCTGAGCGACAACGAGATCGAGAAGATGGTTGCCGATGCCGAGCAGTACGCCGAGGCCGACAAGGCGCGCAAGGCTGTCATCGAGGAGGCCAACCGCGCCCACTCGGTCTGCTCCGAGACCACCAAGGCCATGCAGGAGTTCAGCGAGCAGCTCCCCGCCGAGGAGAAGGAGAAGCTCAACGTGCTCATCAAGGAGACCGAGGAGCTCGCTTCCAAGGGTCTCAACGGCGATGCCGACATCGAGGCCCAGACCATCCGCGAGAAGATCGACGCCACCCAGCAGGCTTCGCTCCAGCTCTTCAAGCTCGTCTACGAGAAGAAGGGCCAGTCGTCCGGCGGTGCTTCCGAGAACGCCGAGTCCAAGCCCGAGGGTGAGGGCGAGAAGAAGCAGTAAACGGTTCCCCCCTCCCCTGCCTGTTTCATCCTCTCGCTCTCCCCGACTCGCCTTGCACAGCGATCTTGTAACAACAGCTCCCCCTTTTCCTTGTTCCGTCCACCTCGATCCATCAATTTGAGGCTGGACGGGCACCCAAAAAACCTCTCTCGTGCGCTGTGCACCGCGATCACGCGAGCGGCTTTGATCATCTCGCTCTGCCCCGTCGTTCCTCTTGCATTTTATCAACCCTTGTTTTACACCACCGCTTATCCACCCATTCCCCATTCTCTCAGAATCTCAAGATGTCTCGTGTATTCTTTCTGCATAGTGCCCGAATGTGTGTGTGTGTCGAGAAGAGCAAACAAGAAGGAATTGCAAAACTGGCGTGTAGCAAGACAAAGAGAGTGACGGAGGTATGATGTACAGGCCAAGCAGGAGACGGAAAGCTTGCGATGGAAGCACACGAATCGAGACGTCGAACGGGGTGAGACGAGGGGTTGAAAACGATGCGGCAGTGAGCGAGAATGATGGTGAGGCGCCCAAAGCCGGGGCACAGTAGGGCGAGGCTTGAAGGCCAGTCATGCGAGTAAGTTAGGCTTTTTGAATGCCTAGCCAGCGAAGCCGGGCTGAGTTCCGAGCCTTGAGCGCATGTAGGTTCGTGCAAAGGTGTCGGGGCTAAGATGACGCAGCTTGGGCTGCTGGTGCGTCCTCGTCCTCTTCGGGGATTGGCTCTGGGTTCTCGCCGTCGTCGAGCCAGCTTGCCTCGACGGTTGCCTTGACACGACGAACGTACTCCTTCATGTTTTCGCGATACAAACTTGCGGCCTCTGCGTTTGCGGGCGAGTTGGGGTTGGGATCGTGCAGCAGACTTTGAATACTCGTGAGGATCGCCGCAACATCGTAGGTGGGCGACCATCGGTTCTGAAGGATGTCGAGACACAGCTCGCCATTGGCATATACGTTGGGATGGAACATCTTGGAGAGGAACTTGACCGTTGGCGGCTTGTTTGGATACGACTCGTCAAACGTCATGACGAGCTTGAACGTTCCATCTTCAAAGGGAGTATCGGCGGGGCCAAAGATGACAGCGTTCCAGATCATAAGATTGTCGGCGCATGGTGCACCCGAGATGCCTCCAGGCGGGTCCGTAGACAGACGCTTGAAGTCGCGAATCAATCGCTTCTTGGATGGTGTAGACTGTCATCGTGCGGGCCGGAAAAGCAGGTTGCAGTCAGCATCGCCACAAACGCTCGTGTGTCGAGACAGCTCTGTTGCGCTGCATGGTAAAGCACTTACCATGATAGAACGTTTTCAATGCAGTCAAAGCTTGCTACAGGAGAATGTGACCGTTGCTTGGAAATGTGACGAGCTCTGCTCTTCGAGGCTTTGTGTGCTGCGTCTGCGATCTGACTCCAGAATCAGATGGCGAAACGAGGAGCGAAAGGACTTGCGTGATCTGTGCTGCTGCTGGAAGCGGTATTGCTTGCGTTCGCTAGTGTGCTTGAGTGATCTGCAAGTGGTAAAGGCGAGCGGTGCGGGTGATGATGGTGAGATGCGGCTCAGTTGGGATGGAACGACGGGTCAGCAAGGGTGTTGGTTTGCATTTCACACGGCAAGCCGGGCGAACGGAGCGAGCGGAGTCGTTAGCGCGTCCACTCTGAGCAGCTCGCCCAGCTCGGCTGAGCAACACCTCAGAGCCTCTCAGCCCACAGGGCACAGACTCAGCGACAGCTTATAGACCGCGCGCTGCTGTACCGTGATTTTAGCTTAGCCGCAGCGCCGTAACGTAACTGTGCCTTTTCCCATTTGAGGCGAACGCCCCTGATCTTTTCGTACGAAAGAGATCCGCCTGCTATCACCATCACATTCACGGACCACAGCCCCCAGAACATGCAACCGCCTCGTGAGAAATGCGCTTTCTTGTCGCCGGGCTGGGATCAGGAACGAGGCAGCACAGGGCAGTTTGAAGCTAGTTGCGATCTATCCATTGACGAAGCCACGCGCTTCTACAGAAGGAAGCCGTGGTGGTGCAGGTTGCGGACTGAAATTACAAATAGATGCCAAAGGTCTTGAGGTTCTCGCAGCTCTCGTAGACCTCTGCCATGATCCTTTTCGCAGCCTCCTCGTCGCCTCCGATTCCCAAGAAGCCTCTTGTAGCGCCGAGACGTCGTTCTTGGTACTCTCTTTGGCGCTCGCACCTCGAGTACATGGCTTGCTTGTACGCATTCTCGACGCGGTTCTCGAATCCGGCGATGTCCTTCTGACTGCGCTCGCCCGTGACGAAGGGATGGTTGTTGAATTGGTTGTCGTTGACATAGTAGGGGATGTGGTGCTTGTTTGTCATTCGCTGCGTCTTGTACGTAGCTGAGGGCGTCAATGCAAAGTTGGGATCCGGCGTCGAGAACAGTGACGGCGCATAAGCAAGCAGACTGAACAGGCCGAGCACCAGCAGCGGCAAGAGTTGCAGCAAGATGCTGGCATTCTGTGGCTCGGCTTGCGCCCGACGGGCCCCTGGCCGTTGCTGGCGGAACTGATGCGTGCGCATGCCTGGTCCGCCAAAGGTGAACGTCGTCCCTCCAAACTGGCCGCCCCCCATGCCACCACCGCCAAAGAACATGTTGAAGAGGTCGTTGGGATCGATCTCGTCTGCATACATGCCTCCGCCGCGGAACGGCGTGCCTCTCATACCTCCGAAGGGGTTGCCGTGTCCTGCTGCTGCCGCGCCCGCCGCCGATCTCGCATTGTCCGGGTCGCCTCCATATCGATCGTACGCCGCACGCTTGTCTGCATCGGTGAGGATGGTGAACGCTTTCGAGACCGCCTTGAAGGCTTCGTCCGCTCCCGGTGCACCGTTCTTATCCGGATGCAGCTGAAGCGCAAGCTTCTTGTAGGCCTTCTTGATACCGTTCTCGTCGACCGTCTTTTCCACACCGAGCACCTTGTAAAAGTCGCCGCCGGCCTTCTTGATGCGCGTGACCACCTCGAGCTGCGCCTGAGTGTAAGCTCGCTTTGGCGCTGCATGTGGTGTGTCGGCGGCAGAGCGTCCGTTGCTCTGCGCCGAGGCTCGGGATCGCAGACCCTCCGCCGAAGTGGAGGCGCCTGCTGCTGCTGCGGAGGAAGATGCTGATGCAGAAGCCGCCGCTGATGCTCCATTTCCTGAAGCACCGCTCTTCTCGAGCCTGATCAAGAGTGCCTCTGCTGCCGGCGTCTTGTAGATGGCGATGCTCTTCTTGGTCCACTTGATCGCAGCCGCAGTGTCGCCGCCGGCGTCATGCTTGAAGGCAAGGCGTAGGGCCTTTTGTGCGTCCTCGGCCTCCATTGTAGAGAGCTCGAGCTGTCAGGTACGATTGTGAGATCAATCCTGTCGAGACGTGGGCGAGGTTCCCGAGATGATATTGCTGCTGCAAAAAGTGAAGCAAGGCAAGGGCCAAGTTGGTTGATGCACTGGCTTCTTCGTGCGAGCGCTCTGTGGATGCGGCTATGCTCGAGATGCGTAGATGTCCAGATGACCACAGCAGATCCAGGGTTTCCGTTTCGGCCGCCGCTTGTTCGCTATGATGAAGTCGAGCACGATTCAAGGGTGGGGAGGTGGGCGTCCGAACGACAGTCGCAGCCTTGCCGGTTGCGACCCGAAGCTCAGCCTGAGCGCCAACTCTTCTTCGCTTGCACAGACTCTCAGAGCCAGGCTCGAAAGCGGCCCTCCGCTTCCGCTTCTTGGGATCGCCCGCATACGTGTCCTTTTATTTAAAAGCTGTCAGTAGAAAAGGCGTAACATCTGTTCCGAATTCGACACACGCACAGCAGTTCGATTGCGGTCGCGTAAGACGGGCGTTTGACAGGGCGTGTGTTGCACTTTCGACTGCCGTTGCAGTTCGACACTTCTGAGCGCGCCAGCTCATTCCTTCGCATGCGCGCCCAGGCTTCGCCTCCACCATTTCGGGTTCGAAATTTCGCGTTGTCGAACAGCCTCGTGCCGACCAGCATCCACCTTTTCTTCATCACCATCCTACCGGCGCGCATCAGCAACCAGGCATGCTTGCCTGCTGACACCCCTACTTACCACCAACACTAAGAGACGCTCCTCGGGCTACAGCGTCTGCAGAAAGCGCTTCTATGTTGCGGACTGTCGTCGGCTAAGTCCTAGCCCTTCTCGGCTTCCCCATCAACGCATCCTTCTCCACCCAGCAGAGCGCATCGAGTCCTGACATCCGAACCCATTCCCAAAAGGGGCCAGCACCTAGCCAACATGTCGTTCAACTTCAAATGGCCCACCTTCTCGGAGGAGTTCCACGCGAGCGCTGCTCAGATGCTCAATAGCGCGCTAAACCGCGGCCCCAAACCGAAAGTGATTGCCGATGACATTCTTGTCGAGGAGCTCGGCATGGGCACCATCCCACCGGAGCTCGAAATCCTCGAGATTGGAGACCTCGGCACCGATCGCTTTCGCGGCATCTTCCGGCTCACGTATGCGGGCGATGCTCACCTGGTCTTAAAGACAAAGGTGCAGGCAAACCCGCTCTCCAAACCCAACCGCCCGGACATCGGCCTCTTTCCATCCTCGAATGCTTCTAGAGGCATTCTCTTTGCAGCCGCGCCGCTGGTCGTGCCGATGCATCTGAGGCTGTCCTCCGTCAAGCTCCGCGCCATCGTCGTGCTCGTCGTCTCCAAGGCAAAAGGCATCACGCTCGTCTTCAAGAACGATCCGCTCGAAAGCGTCGAAGTCAGCTCAACCTTTGACAGCGTCGCCGTCATCCAAAAGTACCTGCAGCAGGAGATCGAGGGCCAACTCCGCGAAATGTTCAGAGAGGATCTGCCCGGCATCATCCACAGACTCAGTCAAAAGTGGCTTAGCGGCGAAGTCAAGTCCGAAAAGGAAAAGACCAAGCAGAACACCGACCCAGAGGGCTCGATACCTCGCGCCAATGCGTCGAGGACGAAGGAACCTGCGCTGCCACGCTCCGCCAGCGAGCCACTCGCCGTGCTCGAGACCGCCTCGGCCCCGGGCGGATCGATGAAGCGAAGCCCTTCAAAGAGCAAAAGAGCATCCCAATCCAGATCGGGTGAAAGCACGACCGGCGTTGCAGCATCACCCGGACGATCGCCTCCAAAACCACGCAGCAACGTGCGTCGCTCCCGCCATGTGGCTAAAGCTGCTTCAACTTCAGCAGCCCTCTTGCACAACGAACTGCCATCCACACACGCCTCGCCATTCGACGCTGCTTTCCCCGACATTGAGAACTACGATCCCACCTATGGATTGCGTCCGGACGATCTGCCCACACATAGCGGCTTCTCCGGCCTAGGCCGTCTGGCCCAGCGCAATCTCGGTGGCCTGAAGGATCTCACCGCCTCGCCGACGTTCGCAAGTCCAGACATGCCAGGCAACGACATTGATCTGGACGAAGCCGCCTTCGAGGACTTTGACCGCGCGTCGGACGAAGCTTATTCGGACCTGGACGAGCAGCAGGATGCTCTCAGCGGATCTCAGACCGACGACGTTGAGACTGACGCTGATCAAGGTGTTGTTTCGGATGACTTTGGCGATGACGTATCGGACCTGGAAGAGAATGATCAGAGCGACTTCATCGACACTTCCATCGACTACACTCGCTTTGGCTATCCTCCAGCTTCGGCTGCCTTTTCCGACACTCAAGAGCTCAACCGCGCATCCTCAATCATCTTTGACGACGAGCCCCAGTCGCGTTCGCGGCGCGGAAATCCTCCGTCTTCTTCCGGTCGCTCAGGAGCCCGCGCTCGACGACCTTCGTCGAGTCGTTCCGAGAAGTCGACCGCGTCTGCTGCTCAGAGGAGAAAGCCGCAGCCCGCCGTCGTCTACGAGACCATCCCGGCCGTCGGCGGCGGTATTGTCACCCGCCCCCGTGTGTACCACATTGCAAGCAAAGTGCAGCCGCCCGAGGTCGACTGGGACGACGAGGATACAGCTCGACCATCCCAGTACGGAGGCACGCCTTCCACCCGAACAGGCGCCACACGCTTCGGTTCCGACTTCGGCAGCGCCACCATCGGTGCACATAGCTCGCGGACCAATACGATCCGAGGCGCACACGACTCTCCTCACCTCGGCGCGGCTTTCGTGTCGCGCGACAGCAGTGAGGAGAGCCTTCTGGACCTTCCACCCGAGTCGTTCCACAGCAGCGACGCCTCGTTTCAGCAACCCTTCGTTGCCTCCGACGCCGCCCATTCTTCCGCTTCCGACTCCGCTTCGAGGACCGGTCGGGGACCGTCGGCGTTGGGGTCGACCAGTCGGCAGTCTTCATCACGCGATCTGTCGGATGTCCAGTGGGACCACAGCGCAGCCAGCACTGCACCAACCTCGTCGCAGTCCCAGACTTGGGACGTGCACACCAAGAGCGATGCCAGCAACAAGGCTGTTGGCACCAAGATGAGATCCGAAGCGCCTTCCGATTCGGGCGTTCAGTTCCGTAAGAACAAAAGCACCAGCCACAACCGGTCCAAGACGATGGGCAATGGTGACCCTGCTAAATTCATGGCACGGCGCGCCGGTGAAGGGCCGGGTATGTCGGCTACCCCTGCGCGCGCACGAGCAGCGGCGGCGTCGCGACCCGGCTTCATCACTTACGCAGCGTCGCCGCCGGGCGACTCGCTCAGCTGGCAGCAGAGTCCTCCGACTCATCGCGCTATGGATCGAGAGGCGGCTCTCTCCACATCTCCCTCGGGCGCACAAGACATGCTGTCCACCTCGCCTTTCCGGAGCTCGAGCCTGCATCATGGAAGTCCGCGCGGTCCCTCGTATGTTGGCGGCCACTTTGCGAGTGCTAGCAACAGTCCGCAGACGGGCCAGTCGAGAGCTGCGCAGGGCTCGGCAGCTGCGCCCACGCGACTGTCGATCGACGCATCGGCGCACTTCCTCGACCTGGTCAAGTCCAATCACACCCTCAGTCCGTTCACGCGCAACATGGAGCACTTCACAGTGCGTAGCGCCCCAGTCACACCGGGATGGCAGACCACTTCCGGCAACGCAAGCGTGGTCGGGAGCAGTGCTGCAAGCGGCACGGGCACAACAAGCGGAAGTTCCCAGACTGGCGCGCTGGGCAAACAGGGCAAAGGCAGCACAAGCGTCGCGGTGCATTCGGCTGCTGAGCACAGGCAGCCACGCGATTCAAATACACCCCCTGCCTCTGCCAACACACCCGCGAGACGGCGCCGCACTTTCCAGCTGGGAGCCTCGAGCTCGCCCGACGAGCAGCAGTCTACGCCCAAAGCGGATCGTCGCCAAGCAGATCTGCGCACTGACGGCGGTTTCGCGTCGAGCGAGCATGGCTTCGCCCCCTTCGCCGGCTCGGGCCCGAAGCCCTTCCAGGCTCCTGGATCGTCGGCGTCTTCGAACGCCGAGTCGAGCAAGGGAAAGCGATCGGCGATCAAGGATGCTCGTCGACGCAGCCGTCCCGATTCGATGGGCCCACCGTCGGAAGCGGCGCGCATGAGTGCCCTACGCTGGGAGGCGATCCGAGAGTAGGGCCCCGGCACATACAAGTTCGATACCCACAAAGACGAGGCTCTTGCGTCTTTGTCTACCGCCACTCACGATATCACGACCATGCATGCAATGCAACGACTTCATGGCATAAGAATGAGCGAGATCGCTTCGAGTGTTGAGCGATTGCGAAAGGCTTGGCAACGGAATCCGACGGCGAGATAAGCGTGCCATAGTCGCAACCGAGATGGTGTCAGGAATGCAGCGCGCCTAACATAAGTTCCACGTGCTGACATCCGGAGGGAAGCAACGTACGCGCATGCTCGGAAAGGCGGGGAGGCGTGCCCCGCCAGGTGGACTTGGCGCACTCCGTTTGCTAGCACAGCATTCTGACATGAGGAGATGCAGAATGGCAGCTGGGCGTCTTGGCCTTCGCTTGCAATTGGTGAGAAATGGTCGTGGCACGCAGATTCAGCCTAGTCCATAGCAGCGTACGTCGATGAGCGGGGTCACGGCGAGGACCGAGCCAGCGGAGCTCTCCGTCGTTCCGAGGGCAGAATCGGGACGAGCCGAGCCGCCGTCGTTGAACGTCGCGGCGTCGTGAGCACGCTGATATTACATACCTTGCAAGCCATCGCTCGAGAAAAGCGACCCGGGACCAGCCTCGGATACATTCTCGCTCGCCAAGCCCCCGCTTGGATCGTACAGCGTGCGTATCGTTTGTTCTCGACGGGTCTTGGCATTGAGGACAGCGACATCCTGGTCTTCATGCAATCAATCTAACATCTTCGTGCCGGGGTTCACCGCGGCTCAATCTACTCTCGCCCTCAGAGCGGAAGATGCAGGCGGGGCGGTCCAGCATCGGGACTTCGCAGCTTGCACCCACCTGACGCTGCAGTGTGTCAACCCGATCTCTTCCCTGCTGCACTTGATCACGAGGGCGAGCCTGGAAGCGGGTCAAAAGAATTTATCGCGGGGGTGCGGAGTAGCATCGGTCAAGCTCCATCTAAAGTTTGCTCGTGTTCGGCGGGGACCCGCACTTCCATTATCGGACCAACCGACGTGGTCGCGGACGCGGCGACAAGAAGGCCGGCCAAGATCTGAGCTTCAAAATCTTCTCCTCCCCCACCAAAACTAGAAAAGAAAATCCTTTTTCGGCGCTCTTCCAGCTGATCTGGATTTGATCTTGCGCGGGCCAAATTTGCTCAAACGATCAGCCGACCAGGGCAAGGCGGATCGAGGCGTAACTTAGCTGGGCGTATTGGGCTCCACAAATGATGCTTGCATGACCATGGCAACGCTTCTCGGCAAGGGTTGAGGGTGAAATGGAGACGCCAAGAGCAAGCCCAACCGATTCGATCTGATCATGGCTTGCTTCGTCCGTCGGGGCTGGCCAACGAGCCGCGGGATGTCGGTACCAAAAGTGAGGCCGTGGTTCGAAAATTGCCTCGCCCCTCCCACTTGCGCGCGAACGGCTCGAGTGGGCCCTTGGCTTGGCGCAGATTTGCGACTGGCCACCGCAACGAGCAGCTCGCGCCGTCACACGACCGAAGCCGCTCCGACCATTGTATCCCACATCCAGAGCCTCTGACAAGCCAGATTGAGGCGATTTCGGGGCGGCGTTCGCATCGTATCACTCATTTTATTCAATGACCCGACTTTGCACCCAGAAGAGCCTTTTCCCCGCCATGAATCGAATCTTTTGTCCATCCAGCTCAGAATTGTGGAGACTGGACGGTGAAGTTTCGAGCATTGTCGCCGAAATGCTCGTTTCCGCGCTCTGAGTGCTGGCTGCGGCAGCCAGAACATACAAGCAGGCTGGTTCGGTTGCGAACGGAAGATGCCACCACGGGATCGAGGGCGTGCGGCAATACCAGATCGATTGCACTCGGCGCGCGCGCCCGCGTCACAAAGGCCGTGATCCGAGCCCGCGGAGGGATGCCAGTTCCGAGCTCATCTCGCTCACATTGCAAGCTCATTTGCTCTGGCGAGATTCCCTCGGACGATCCGCGCATCCCTTTCGGCTTTGTTCGCAACGCGCTCGCCACGGACACGATCATTTCACCGGGATGCTCCTGATTGGCAAAAGCAGCCATGTAATGCGTGCTCGTTCCCGGATCCTTGCGACCGACGGCTAAGCATTCGAACCTTAGGTACCTGTCAAGGGCAAGGGGCGAGGTTTGTGCTTTCGACGTTGGACGGCCTATCAGCCGAGCAGCCACGCTGCTGTGGGAGACGTGCGGATTCCTGCGTTTTCGGCATCTGGAGCTGTCGCTTTCGGCAGACGTGCAGCTCAGTTCCAAAGGAGCTGCGGCATTGCAGCCCCATGACGGCTTCAACTTCATCCCACTAAAGCCCAAGCCACGGTCCAAGGTCAAACACGACTGCAGCCATTGAGCGAGCTTGGGGCGGCAGCGACGAGTCTGCCGTTTTTTCTCGGCTGCCCACGCGAGGCGAAATCAGGATCTTCCCGGTCACTGACGGAGCCGCGATGACCACGAGACTGGGGCGGGAAGAAAATCTCCGATGGACCGGGCCCTGAGTTGCGTTGAGTGGGCCAGAATTCGAATCAACCAGATCGGGACAAGCCAAGAAGGCCGCCGCCGCGGCCCTGCTGCCGAAGTTCATTTTTCCACAAATTGAGCCGGGTTGCCAGACCGGCGAGGCCGAAAAAGTGGGGCCAAGGGACCTGTTGCAACCCTGGACCCACCCACATGTGGCAGCTGCAGGCGACCGAAAATTCACCAATCACGCAAGCCCAACAGAGCTCCTCTTCCGTCGTCGTCGTCAATCTGCTGCGTGCGTGTGCGGCCAGATCGACGCAAGGCCAGGGCGAGACAGTCTCAGGTCGACCGTCTGGATTGACCGGCGACGGAAATGCAATGTTTGCCATTTCACCGAAATGAGGCCGCTGTGCCCTCCGCTTTCGCCAACGTAGCTCATATCGAAACTCCACACTCTAGGTGAGACGACGAACACCGCAAGGCTGTAAGCAGGCATCTGTGAGCTTCATTCTACAATGCTTCTGCGAGGGAACATGCGGCATGTGTGTTTAGCAAAGTCAAGGTGGGGGTGCCAAGGAGCTCTGTTGGCGTGAGGCACGCGTCCTGGAAGAAAAAAGAGGTCCTGAGCGGGCGGCCAAGCATTCCTAGCGTGCTCTTGGCAGGGTTCGCAGGTCTAAGCTCGACGTCGCGGATCTGCGACACGTTGCTCTCCAAGCGAGCCAAAATTTTTTGACTGTAGGCAGCCCCTGAGCTAAAAATGCTTGCGAGCTGCGTCAGGCTAAGCTGCGTCGGACTACTGTCATGGCCCTAGGAGTAGCAACTGTAGTCGAGCGCCGGCCAGGGGCCTGAACGCGGACGTCGCATGCCCGCTGTTAGCCCTGATCGAGGCTCTGCGAATCCAAAGCCAGATTCAAAGCACTGCGAATCCAAAGCCAGATTCAAAGCACTGCATTTCGTCCGAAAATACAGTGGCAGCAGCAGCTAGTAGGTGTAGCTGCCAGAGAAGGATCGAGCTGCATCCTTGCTTGGCTGCACACTAGGGTCAACGCCGAGGCAGCAACTCCACACAGCGTCGGCCATGCACAAGACGCAACCAGCTACCGCAACTGGCAGCGTGGACAGCGCTCGATGATGGGCGCTGCACGCTTCGGTCGGCATGGCGGAGATACCGCAGCACCGCGGTCGATCACTGCAGCGAGCAGCATGGGCAAGTCCAAGCCAAGCAGCCTGATTGGCCGACCGGCGCAGATCCCCCATTTGGGGAGGGCAGTCGGAAAACGAAATACAGTAGACGGTCTCGCCATTTCTTCTCGACGTCCCTGATGCGGTTGATTTGACAGGATGCGGGCTCCCTTCTGAGCGTCGCTTCCAGGGGCGAGGCCAAGCCATTCCATTCGCAAGTCTTGGCTCCCCGTTGCCTGGCTCAGGTATGAGCAATACTGTAGACCTCCTTCTGCACGAGCCTGCAAATGACACAATTGCGCCCTCGCGCCCACATCACGCCCTAGCTCATTGGCGTTCGCAAGACGAATTCAAGCCTTGTCAGACGATCGGCGTTAACGTTGAAAGATACAGTAGCTTTACCGTGATCCATGGACTGCCATTCGAGTGCGACTAATGCCGAATGACCAATTGGCAAGGCGGTCCAAAATGCCGAATGACCAATTGGCAAGGCGGTCCAAGGGCGGCACGGTCTACGGACCGGAGGGCAGCGAGCGCCGAAAAGCTCCATGTGGCGGGTCGAGGGCGAAAACTTTTTTCTTTGCGTCGGCTCAAGGCACGCAAACATAAAGGCGCCGGGCCGTGTGGGCTGCCAAGCAGTCAAAAGTGCGAAAGATTCCAAACTCGCTCGTTGCTTGACAGGTCCGTGTCGATCGATCCTGCAAAAGCCCGACAGGCACTGGAGCTGTCAAGACGGAGAGACCCTCGCGTGTTGAACTTCCGTTTTCGAGGATTCGGACCTTTTTTGATTTTGATTTTTTTTTTCCAGCTTCACTTGTTGTCTGCGTGTTGGGGCGGGCTGCAGCCTTGCATTTGAGCTGCCGCTCGCAGCTGGCCCAGGCAAAGTGAGGAAAACTGCACGTTGGATTCGGTTCCCCTCTTTGCGCCCCAGCAGGCGGGCTTGACCTACTCTGCATGAGTGCATGCATGCTTGGTGCTGCTGCTCGCCACTCGCAAGTTTGACACCCGTCGGCCGCCCTACGCCCGCCTTTGCTCTGTCTGAGCTCCGGCGTCGTGCTCTTTGTTGCCGTCGCCCTGGCCTTTGCCGTTGATTTGGAGGGGGAAGCAGCTCAAATGCCTGCCGATTGGCCAAGATTCTGGGAGATATGGAGCCAGGTCGGTCAGCGGGCTTGACTGTCCGCCCGGCACCTCCGCCTCCGTCGCTCTTTTCCTGCGTGTGGGCTGGTTATCTTTCGCCTTTTTTCGGTTGTGCCGACCAGAAACGGGCTCCGTTCTTCCTGGTGCCGCAGGCCGTTGGCTCGTCCCCCACCCCTGTGCCCTCGCCCGCTCGCTCTGGCTGCCGGGCTGTTGCCATGCAAACACGAGAACATCTGCATGAGCTTGCGCCAGAAGAGAGGCCTTTTCGCTGCACCAGTGTGTTGTGACCGTGGTGCGAAGTTGGCCGCCGTCCATGCCCGTGTCTGTGTGGTTCTCCTCCTCGGCGGCCCCCCCGAAGAGCAAGAGCCCTCAAAGAGTATATAGTAGAAGCATCCTCCTCTGATCGTCCGGGCTCACCTTCTCACCTTTACCTCCATCCTTCCATCAACCCTCCCCCTCCGTCCGTTCGTCACCTCGACCTACGCACGGAAAAGAGATTAGGCACAAGCGCCGTCTCCCGACCTTCACTTTGCGTTTCGTCTCTCGCGAGTCTGAAAGCAGTCTTTCCCCCCCTTCCTTCGTCTCTTCTTCTGGATCGAGCAACTGGGTTTGCCTCTGATCCTAAGTTTGAGCGAATCCGATCGAGTAGTCACTCACAGGGTAAGTTGGCTCGAATTTCCTCTCCTGCCCATGCCGCTCTACCGCCTCCTCCGCTTGGTGCCCCGGGCGACCCGTCTCGATGCGAGAGTGGGGCGCATAGAGGCTGCCAGCGCGCAGAGGCGGGCGTACGCAACAGGGGCTTCATAGCTAGTTGCGAGCGGCTTCGGAGTCGGAGGCCCTCCCACAATTATGAAATCTCGGCAGCACCTCCTCTGCATGAAACCCACATCTACAAGCGCAATCCACTGACGCTTGTTCATCCTCCCCATCTTTTACCTATAAATCGCTCTTCCATCCATCTTCAGACTTTTTCCTTCCCCATATCAATCCGCCAACATGTCGGAAGTTCAGCAGGAAAAGAAGGTGACCAAGCACCGCGACATCGATGAGGAGCACGGCGAGAGCGGCCCCAAGCATGCTCTCGTTGACATGAGCACCATCGAGCTCAAGGCCGAGGACCTCTACGACAAGAGCAAGGTCGACATTGAGGCCATCGAGCTCGAGGATGTCTGGACCCTCCTCCAGTGCAACGAGGGTGGCCTCACCGAGGAGGAGTGCACTCGCCGCCGCGGCATCTTCGGTCCCAACAAGATTGAGACCGAGGAGCCCAACCCCATCCTCCAGTTCCTCTCCTTCATGTGGAACCCCCTCTCCTGGGTCATGGAGGGTGCCGCCATTGTCGCCATCGCCCTCTCCAACGGTGAGGGCAAGGCCCCTGACTGGCCAGACTTCGTCGGTATCGTCCTCCTTCTGCTCATCAACTCCACCATCGGTTACATCGAGGAGCGCAACGCCGGTAACGCCGTCAAGGCGCTCATGGACTCGCTCGCCCCCAAGGCCCGCTGCAAGCGTGACGGCAAGTGGATCGAGATCGAGTCCTCGGACCTCGTGCCCGGTGATGTCGTCGCCTTCAAGATCGGTGACATCGTCCCCGGTGACTGCCGTCTCTTCGACGCCATCAACGTTTCGTGCGACCAGGCTTCGCTCACCGGTGAATCGCTCCCCGTCAGCAAGAAGGTCGGCGACCAGTGCTTCTCCGGTTCCATCTGCAAGCAGGGTGAGGCCGAGGGTGTTGTCATCTCCACCGGTCCCAACACCTTCTTCGGTCGTGCCGCTACCCTCATTGGCTCCGACGACGACACCACCGGTCACCTGCAGCAGGTTCTTTCCCGCATCGGTCTGTTCTGCATGGTCACCATTGGTCTGTTCATCGTCCTCGAGATCCTCATCCTCTACGCCGGCTTCCGCTACAAGTACCGCCGTGGTATCGACAACATCCTGGTGCTCTTGATCGGTGGTATCCCCATCGCCATGCCCTGTGTTCTGTCCGTTACCCTCGCCGTCGGTGCTCAGCAGCTCGCCAAGCACAAGGCTATCGTCACCCGCATCACCGCCATCGAGGAGCTTGCTGGTGTCGACATCCTCTGCTCTGACAAGACCGGTACCCTCACCACCAACAAGCTCACCATCGACACCGAGCTCGTCAAGCTCTACTCGGACTGGGCCGGTGTCGAGGACGTCATCCGCTTCGCCGCCTACGCTTCGCGTACCGAGAACCAGGACGCCATCGACGCCACCATCGTCGGCACCCTCAAGGACCCTGCTGAGGCTCGCACCGGCATCAAGCTGCTCGACTTCAAGCCCTTCAACCCCGTCGACAAGCGCACCGAGATCACCTACCTCGAGGAGGCCACCGGCAAGATGAAGCGTGTCACCAAGGGTATGACTTCGATCATCATCGACCTCTGCAAGCGCAACAAAACCGAGGACCAGGAGAACCGCCTCGAGGCCGACGTCGAGGAGTTCGCCAACCGTGGTCTGCGTGGTCTCGCTGTCGCTTTCGAGGAGGTTCCCTCCGGTGAGGTCGAGGCTGAGGGCAACGGTTTCGAGCTGCTTGGTCTGCTTGCCATCTTCGACCCTCCCCGCCACGACACCAAGGAGACCCTCGACAACGCTCAGGCCCTCGGTGTGCGCGTCAAGATGGTCACTGGTGACCAGCTCGCTATCGCCAAGGAGACCGGTCGCCGTCTTGGTCTTGGTGACCGCATGTTCAACTCCAAGGTTCTCGTCGATGGTGTCCTCCCCCCTGGCAGCCCTTACAAGTCGCTCGACGAGATGATCCTCGACGTCGATGGTTTCGCCGGTGTCTTCCCCGAGCACAAGTACGAGATTGTCAAGCGTCTCCAGGGTCTTGGTCACCTTACTGCCATGACTGGTGACGGTGCCAACGATGCTCCTGCCCTTGCCCGTGCCAACGTCGGTGTTGCCGTCGAGGGTGCTACCGATGCCGCCCGTGGTGCCGCCGACATTGTGCTCACCGAGCCCGGTCTCTCCACCATCGTCGAGGCTATTCGCCAGTCGCGTATCATCTTCGGCCGTATGAAGAACTACGCCGCTTACGCTGCTGCCATCACCATCCGTGTCGTCGTCGGTTTCGCTCTGCTCGCCTTCATCTGGAAGTCGGACTTCCCTCCCTTCATGGTTCTGATCATCGCCTTCCTCAACGACGGTTCCATCATGACCCTGTCGCTCGACACTGTCAAGCCCGCCCTCGAGCCCCAGCACTGGGACCTTACCGAGCTCTTCTTCTGCGGCTCGCTCTACGGTCTGTACCAGGTCGCTTCCACTCTTGCGCTCTTCGCTGTCATCTACGAGACCACCTTCTTCGAGGACAAGTTCGGCGTCACGCCCCTGCACGGCGACCCCAACGACCCTCGTCTGCACATGATCATGTACCTCCAGGTCGCCATCCTCGCCCAGGCCCTCATCTTCGTCACCCGTTCCCACGGCTTCTCGTGGATGGAGCGCCCCTCGTTCGCTCTCATGGGCGCCTTCTGCCTTGCCCAGCTCATCTCGTCGATCATCGCCGCTTACGGTAACTGGGGCTTCACCAACGTCCGCGCCATCGAGGGCGGCTGGATCGGCATCGTCTGGGTCTGGAACATCATCTGGTACATCCCCATGGACCTGGTCAAGTTCTTCGCCAAGTTCCTCCTCCGCAACATCCGCTCCAAGAAGTCGCCCGCTGCGGCCCACGAGAGCCTCAGCCGCACCACGTCGCGCGCCGACAGCATGTACTCGAACCGTACTTCGTTCCTCAAGCGTGCCCAGCGCAAGGTCGGCTTCGGTGGCGAGAAGAAGATCCACATGTCGAGCACCGAGCTCCAGCGTCTTGGCAGCATCCAGGCCCAGGAGGCCTCGCGCCGTCTCTCCAAGACCCAGTAAGCTGGGCGTCGTCTCGGAGTGGCTCTCTTTCTCTTCTCCTTCGTCGCACGTTTCGTTCCGCCTCGCATTGTCGCATAGACGCGCAAGAGCTTCGTCTTGAATGAACTCGCTCATGCTCGCTGACGACGACTGTCGTGTCAGTGTGTGTTGCAGGAGCTCTCGCTCGAGATGCTCTGGCGCTGAATGCTGGCTGCGATGAATCGAATCCGTGCCAAGGCTGGGCCAGTGTCCATGACCAGCCCGGCTGCATCACTGCATCCCCTCATTCCCACCCTCGTCTTTCTCTATTCGCATCACATATACAGAGCTTCGTGTCCCAAACTATCTTCTCGCTTGCTATAGTATCGATTAAACAACATTTGCTCTTGGTGTGCGTGCTGGTCTAAGCGGGATGGACTTGAGCTGGCTTCGAAGGCGGGCTCGATGGAGTTAGCGTGCGTATCGCGCAGCGAAATGGTCTGTCTTGTCGTAGAGTGAGCTTGCCCGGCTGGTGCGAGGCTCGAGACTGCTAGACCCCTGGCTTGAGACGGATGCTGTGGGCGGGTGCTTTGCCGAGTGGTTGCAATTAGTGGCAGCCGAGAGCGATGACGTCGTGTGTGGGTAAGGACCTCGCTAGCGGAGGGACAAGGGGGTCGCCATGTTTGCTGCAGGTGTTCGGGCTGCTGCCGCCGCTCAACGGCATGAGAGGCCAGCATCAAGGGCGCCGGCAGCGGTTCGGGCAGACGGCGAACTGTGTGCGCTGGCATGATTTGGACGCTAGCGAGACCAACACTCAAGAGCGCTGCCCTGTCGCGTTGTGCAGAAAGTCGAAAATTGCCAGCGATGCCAGGGTTGCCTCTCGGCTGGAGCGCGTTGCCACGCGACCTGCTGCGAGCATTACGGCTACAGGTTGTGGTGACAGGCAGCATTTCATACAGGTTGCCCACCTTTTCGCCTTCTTCGGCGTCGCCCCGCCCACCTCGTGGGCGCCCTTGCGCCAATCTTGCTGAAAGCAAATACTCGTATCGCTAGAGCCCACATCGTCGAGCAGAAGCCCACCAGCGGGCAGTCGAGCGGGGACGGATGGACAGGCTTTCCGATGCAGCGCGTTGGGGTTCGGCGCGCCTGCGGCGTAAAGGTGTGTGTCTCCGAGTCGGACTCTGAACGCACGCACAGTGTCCAGCTTCCATCCCTTGGTAGGCCTGGTCGGCTTGCATACAGGTCAACTCGCCTCCTTGGCGCAGGGCACGACAGCCTGCCGGTGGCTGGTTGTAGCAATCGCCTTGCAGAACTGCAGCCCACCCGCAGCATTGATACGTCAAAGACTTGGTTTCGGCTGGCGCCTTGTGCGGGGATCGCCCAGTGAGACTCGGCACCCTTGGATGATCGCCTGTGCAGTTCTCAAGGTGTGCAACCGCCCTGGTACAGGATACCTCGCGGCGCACCGTCAATTGGCTTCCCCTCTGTTGCTCGTACGCTCGCCGTCCTTCCTTCACATATAAACTCGCCCGTTCTCATCGACCGCTTGAGCTGCTCCCTACGCCGCAGGACGAGCACCAATCTACTCATCACCATCACCATGAAGCTCACTGCATCGCTGGCCGCTGCGCTCGGAGCGCTTGCCGTCCTCTCTCCGCTCACAGTGGCGTCTCAGAGCGCAGAAGCCAGAGATCTTTCGCTCGGAGAAGCCGGATTTGAACCTCGCGGCACTTCAGACTGCGACCTTCCGGTCCGAAAGCATCACCACAAAGGCAAGAAACACCGGAAGGCCAAGCAGGTCAAGGCCACCGTAAACTCGCTTTCGTCGGGACGAAACCGAAATCACCAGCACAAGACCAGCTCGGCACGCCCTAGCAGCTACTATCCCGACACCAAAGGGTCTTCGACCCAGCCCAAATCGTCGGCTCCAGTCTCAAGCTCGTCGTCCGGCTCCACCGGATCGAGTGGCTCCACTGGATCCACCGGCTCTACAGGGACATCGGGGGGCTCGTCGAGCCTGTCGAGCTTCGAGCAGACGATGCTTGAAATGCACAATGCCGACCGAGCCAAACACTCTGCCTCAGCGCTGACGTGGGACAGCACGCTCGCCTCGGCCGCTGCCAAGTGGGCTGCAGGATGCCAATGGAAGCACACGCCAAACAACCCCTACGGCCAGAACATCGCCGCAGGTACCGCAGGCGACTTTGGCGCCAAAGATTCGTGCAGCATGTGGTACGACGAAGTTTCGCAGTACAGCTTTGCTTCGGGCGCGTACAGCGATGCGACGGGTCACTTTACGCAGATGGTCTGGAAGTCGACGACGAAGCTAGGATGCGCCATTCAGGACTGCTCCGCTAGCCAGATGGGGCTTGGCAGCCAGGGCTCCGCCACCTACGTCGTGTGCAACTACAACCCACCCGGAAACGTGATTGGCCAGTTCCTTCAGAACGTATTTTCGACCTAATAGGGTCAGGAAAGATCGGCAGTGCAGGCACTGTTGAGGTGTGGCGAGGCAGGTTCCTCAGCCGGGGAAGAGCAGGTCGCTGGTCGACACGCTAAGTCTTGTTCTGCTAGTATATCATATTGCTCATGAGCCATCAATGGAAGAGTTCAACTTGCAAGGGACTGTGCAAAGTTGCAGCGCTCAAAGCGTTTCGGTAGAACCGACGAGACCGTGGGCACGGAGACAAAGGGATGCGCCTGCGTGAGAAAAAAAAAGGCACGCTTCCTCGCATTGGTACAGCGGCTTGGGCCGTCTTTCCTGCACCGGAAGGTGTCCAAGCGTTCGATGCATGTTCCGCTCGACATTGTGCAAGCCCTGCGACACCGGATGCAGAAAGAAAGCAAACGCCACAAAGGGGCTGTTCATTGCAGTCGGTGGTGCCTGAAGGTGCCAGATGGACAACGAGTTTTACCGGTGCATTCTTCCACAAGTACAATAAAAGGCAGGCAGGTGGGTCCAGCCCACCATCCGCACCCCCCACTTCTCCTTCCATCACCTGCGCTCCCCACCATCTTGGTCTCCTTCATCTGAGCATCTGGCTTTCAGGCAGTAGCGTTGTAATAGCCGTGCCAGTTGCATTGGAGCGCACTGCGGCTGTCAGTTTGATTTCGGCATATCCGTCTTTTCCGACTGTCGTGCCATCGGAAACGCCCCGCGCGCGTTCGGCTTGAAAGCGTGTGGACCCTGCCGAAGCTTGTGTCTCGCCTGCCATCTAGAGGATGGCCCGCGTTCATGCGACGGCTCTTTCTTCCCCGCTGGAATCCTCCTCACCACCAAGTCAGCGCGAGCCCACATCCATGCAACGCACTGCGCAGCTCCTAGCTCAAGCTGTGCCGCATGCGCTCAAAACATCTTCAGAGCCACCCACTTCACCAGCCTTAGACCACCAAACACACATAGATCCGCCGGCCCCCGACCAATCCGTTCGTCAAAGTCGCTCGCTCCCCCATGGCCTCCGGCGCTTCTTCTACCACCTCAGGCCCACTAAGAACAAGACCAATCAAGAGCGCCCGGATCCAAGCTTCGGATCCTTCTGCAATATCCTCAAGGTCGATCGCATCGGGAATCCTAGCCTCTTCGCTTCCTTGACACCGTCTAGAAGCTTGCGCACTCCTCCCTTTTCACGCTCGGTTGCCTCTCTCTCCTCTGCGTCCTCGTTGTCGTCGCCTTCGAGTCCCACCTGGTCGTCCTCGGCGTGCAGCTCATATATCATCTTTCCGCTCGATCCGGACTTTGAGGCCGAGCTAGAGATCGCCCTCGAAATGGCGCCGCACAGCCTCGGCTCCGCGTGGAGCCATGACTCGTACAATGCCATGCAGTATCTGCGTGCTCGTACACCCTATCCACCCACCATGACCCAGACCGCCTTTGACTATCACGGGCAAGGCGACCGACAAGGCTCAGGCAACCGCTGGCAGACGGCGCTCGAGATCGGTTGCGGACCGGGTCAAATGTCGATCCACCTCGCCACGCGCTTCGCCAAAGTATACGGCCAAGATCCCTCGCCTAACATGCTCAAGCTGGCCAACACGGTCAAGCAAATGTCGGCCGAAGAGCTCGCCGAGGTGAATCTGCCGCCTGTCAAGGACGCCGCACGCATCGAGTATAGTCAGGCTCGCGGTGAAGATCCCATCCTGCCGCCGGGCGAGAAGGTCGATCTGATCATGATGGCGGCGTGCATCCACTGGATGGACTGGGAAACGCCCGAGTCGGGCCGCTCCAATTGGCAGAAGTGGTCCTCGTTGCTAAAGCCCGGCGGCACGCTCGTCGTAACGGGCGGCCGACCCGTCATCGGACCCTACACTGGAGAGATGGGCGAGCGAATTCGGCCGCTTCGCGATTGGCTCCTCGACTTTCCTTTTGACTATCCCGAGGTGCAACGCTACTACGACACGGGCAACATGGCGATCGAAGAATTACGCAAGGCGGGCTTGTATCGCAAGCTGCCCATGCCGTGGGAACACAGCCCCGATCTGGAGCAGCTGTGGGACCGCAGCTCGTACTGCTGGATTCCCGTCGATGACCCCACGGTGCTTGGTGAGAAAGCCACCTCGGCACGCCTCGCCCAGGTGGACGATCCAGAGCAGCTCGCTGCCACCATGGACAATCTGCCCGAGTGGATCCGTCCGGGCGTGCGTCGGGCGGCCTGGTGCGACAACTCGGCGGGCGATCTGGTCATCACCACGACAACGCCAAGAAAGATGGCGGATTGGACCAGATCGACCTCAGCATATCTCAAATTCCTACAAGAAAATCCGGAACAACGCCAGCTCAGCTTGCAAGACGAGGATCTGGCCGCCGTCGAGCTCGAGAAGCTTTGCCAACAGATCGGCATCGACTTTGACGCCGAGATCGAGTGCCACCACTCGGGCGCTGTCCTGTGCATCCGTCGCTCCCTCGTGGAATGCTGATCCGTCAGCCCTCCAATCTCTTGCACCTTGCTTCACTTTCGTCTCTTGCATAGCATCTTCGTTCGCTCAGTCGCTCCCTTCGGTCTTCCCCACTTTCATACTTGCATCTCCGTTTCCACAACTCGTAGCATTAATTCACGACATCCACAGCCCTGTTACTCTCAATTCTGCAATGCTTGCGAACTCTGTATGATGGGTCCACCATATGCTCCGTCAGTGCACATCACGGAGATGTTGCTCAAGATTTCAAGCTTGGGTAGCACGAAAGATGAAAGGGACGTAACCTTTTTTTGGCAGCTGCGGAATTCGCGTTGGCGGACCAGACGTGGAGGCGCGAGCGTGGAGGTTGATGACATTCGGAAGATCCGATTTTGAGCTCGTGCCGCCCTTTCGAGCCCTCCCTTGCCTCTAGCCATACTGCTCACACCATCGGAAGCGCCGACGCCCTCGCGTTCTTGCGTTCTCGCGTCCGTCCACATCTATCTTCAGTACTGCATTCTTACAGTCTGACGTTGGACTCGTATCCGACTCCAAAAGTGTCCGGCCGGTCTCCGACGCGTTAGTCTCAACTCGCGGCCCAGGGTACACGCCAGCTGCAATCGGGCGTCAGGGCGGAGCAAGCAACAAGAGTCACGTCGCCATGTTCCTGTGACTCGAGAGTGGTGACCCTTTCGAATCGGCTCGAGGCCGCCGCTAGAGCTCGTCTGTATCATCATGCCGACCGCCTCGCCTGCCGTGGGCCAGCAGACTCCGCCAAACCAGCAGCCCTTGATCCCCGTCGGCGCCGATTGCGAGCTGGTCGACTCCGAGACAGGGAGCGTCTTTCTCGCCACAGTCATCTCACGACGCTGGGGCAGCCCATCGAGCACGCAGGCTGGGTCCGAGAGCGACCATGTTCAGTACTACATCCACCGCCACGACCAGGATAAGCGCATGGATGGATGGGTCGATCAGTCCTCCGTTCGTCCGGTATCCGCTCGCCCTGCACCGACAGCCGCACCTGCTCCATCCGACCCTCATCATCTGCTGCTGAGCACGGCAACACGTCCGGGCGACAAGGGCAAGAGGAAAGCCGAGAACGAGCTCAAGTACGACGACAGCGACGGCAGCCGAACGCCCTCAGCCAGCAGGCAGGCATCACCGACACCGCCAGATCGCCTCCCTCACCCTCGCAGCAGGAAGAATGCTCCGGCTTCGTCGCCCGAGACTCCAGCGCTGCGTAACATCGACCGCGTCCTGTATGGCAACTTTGACATCAAGACGTGGTACTACAGTCCATATCCACTCGACCACGACGATGACGCTACCGATGGCTCGGCGGCGTCTTCGCACGTGTCTACAGGTCTGGGGTCCAACAAGCGCAACCAGTCGCCATCCCTGAGACTTGGAGCAGCCTCATCTCCCGCAGCGAGGCGCGCGCCCAACACTGGCGCCGACTCGCCCGCATCTGCGTCACGGATGTCGCCCGCCGCCGGCCATGCACGCGGCCGCAAGGACGTTCTTCCGACCAAGATGCTCTGGATCTGCGACGGGTGCTTCAAGTACATGAAGACGTACAATGGCTATGCAGCCCACCGCAAGTTCTGCCGAAACACTCATCCGCCCGGGCGCAAAGTCTACCAGCGCGGCGCGCACATCATCTGGGAGGTCGACGGCGCCCAAGAGACGCTGTATTGCCAGAATCTCTCGCTCTTCGGCAAGCTCTTCATCGACCACAAGACTATCTACTTTGACGTCGAGCCCTTCGTCTTCTACGTGCTCACTGATGCAGCCAATGCGAGCTTCGACCATGCGCTCGGCTTCTTCTCCAAGGAGAAGATCTCGTACGACGACTACAACCTCGCGTGCATCGTCACCTTTCCACCGTTTCAGCGAAAGAGCTTTGGCACGCTCATGATCGAGTTCTCGTACTATTTGTCTGCAGCGCAAGGCATGCTCGGCACGCCCGAGAGGCCGCTCTCGGATCTGGGGCTCAAAGGCTATCTATCGTTCTGGACGGCGGTGCTGTTGCGCGCGCTGGTGACGTGCTTCGACGGTCCGCTCCAGCCGCGCAAGGGCAGTGCAGCGAGGGGGCGCAGGCAATCATCGGCCGCGAGGTCGGCACATGTGGTTGGTCAGAGCGTGGAGGATGAAAACAAGGCGAATGTCAGTGAGGCAGCAAGACATTGGAACATCCTCGTCCAGCGATGCAAGCTGCTCGACGTGGACATCAAAGCGCTTTCTCACCAGCCCGGCTACGAAGAGCTGCGCAAACTTGCCTCAGAGGCCGATGGCCAAGTCATCGCCGGTTCCGATACTACTGCCGCGGCTGCGGCAGCGCAGAAGCGCAAAATCCGGCTCAAAGGGTGGGCGGGTAGCACGCCTGCTCGTGCGCTACGGGCTGCGCGCATCCAGCCGGCGCCCAACGACAACGCGCACACGCAGGCAGGGACGACGCCAAATTCTGCACGAACTGCCTCCAACGGCGTCGGGGCCGGATCGCCAGACGCGGCTCATCCTGCGCTGGACGTTGCTAAGCTGCGTGCCAACGAGCCGTGCACGATGAATGTGACGCTCGATGCGCTCTCGCGTCTTACGCATATCCGGCCGGACGACATCGTGCTTGCGCTCTCGGAAGCGGGCATGCTCAACGCCGCGTCAACTCCATTCCTTCCGGCCTCTAGTGCGGCTGTGTCGCAGAACGGCGCGTCGCAAGACGGGGCCTCATCAGCCAACGGCAAGAGCGGCCAGGGCAGCCCGTCGACACCCGCACACGGGCAACCCGCGCTTCTGCTTACACGCGACGCGATCCGCTCGGCGATCGAACGCTTCAACGTGCGTCCTGCCGTGCTGGACGAATCGTACGCACTCATTTGAGTCTGCGCAATCCTCACGAAAAAAACTTGTGCAATGGAAACTGCATTTCGGAAGATCTGTCTGTGTTGTAGCGACTCACTTGGAGGCACTTCGGCGTTCGAGGCGGGCGAGGCTTTCGGCCGCCTTGTTCTTGGCCACGGTGAAGGCGGGTCCTTCGAGCTTGCTTGCCAGAGCGTAGGTCTTCTGAAAGTAGACGCGTGCCGAGCACTTGTCGCCCGCCATCTACACACACGTCCAATCAAAGGAAAGAGGAAGCTGGTTAGCATGAGGTCAAGGCGTGGTATAGAGCAAAGGAAAAAACACTTACGTCGCTGAGGACACCGAGATTGTACAAAAGGGTGAGTTTGACGCCGAGGCATTCGAGACGCACTTCGTTGGTGCGCTCCTGTGACGACTGCACCACCTCAACGCCAGCGCTGGGCTGGCTTTCAAACCCGGCCTTCTGCACGGTGGTGTCGGTGATCTCGAGACCTTTGAGTGCCCACTTGGAGGCGTCCTTGATGTTGGACCCCGACAGGAGCTGCGAGAGGTTGTTCATGATCAGACCGGCTTTGCAGCGCTCGCTTGCGGTCGGCGCGCTTCGGTTGGCCGAGAGAGTGCTGGGCGGCAGCAGGATCGACAGCGCCTGCAGATACAGAGGCACCGCAAACTCGGGTACACTTTTTGCGGCGTAGAACGTGCCAAGTGCTTCGACGGAGCTGAGCACGTCGAGCTTGGTGACCCAGGCGGGCAGGTCGAGGTCTGCAAGCGAGATCGACGTCGGTGGCTCTACCTCTGTCAGCGTAGCCTTGGGCGCAGGGGCAGACTTCGACGCGGTGGGCGCCGCAGCTGCAGCAGCGAGTGCAGAGGCGTGTACATCGGCGGGTAGAATGAGACGGAATAGCTCTTCGACACTCCACACAAGCCAGCGCTCAGCAGGATCCTCCGAGGTGGCCGTGCCCGTGAGGCTGAATCGGAACGGCTTGGCATCATCCTTGCCCTCTGCGGCGTCTTGAATGGGTGCTTGCTTGGCTCGGTTCAGCAGCTCGATTCGCACCTCGGGCAGCTGACCGAGCATACCGAGCTTCTGAGCAACCTGCACAGCGCGCATCCTGTCTCTATCCGTCCTCGGCATCTCGCCCTTTTCGTCCGCCACCCTTCCGTACATGCCGGTCTGCATGATCTCGTCCCAAACGTCCTGCAGCACGTCGTAAGCGTCCACAACGCGACCCTCGCCTTCCAGCAATGCAGCAAGCGCGATGGCAATGCCCGAGATCTTGAGCATCGCTTCGCCCTTCAGTCCCGCGGGCTGGCCCTTAGGCGTCGGCGTCGGCTCGTTGAGCTCGCCCTTGATCGAGCGCGCCGTGGCCAGCGCTTTGCGGAAGAAGTTCTCGGAGCGACGTGCATCGCCGCGATTGCGCGCCTTGAGCGCAGCGCGGAGATCGTCGCGGATCGAGACTGGCCAGGCTGAGAAGGAGGTGTAGTACTCGTACAGGCCGTAGCCGGTGACAACGACCGCGAGCGTGATGAGCGAGGCGAAGAGAGTGCCGATGCGAACGGCACCCGGGCCATTGACGGACGGGCGCGGTCGGAAGCCAGGCGTCTCAACGTTGCCAACACCGAAAGGGCTCTTGGACGGCGATGAAGGAGGACTGGACAGTCGTGGGAATGTGGATGAAAGTGCTCGGACTTGAGGATGCTGTTCAGCGAACCTGGGAAGAACTTGAAGGCTCCGGGACTGGACCGGGAGGCGAGCCGATCGGATGATGGAGCGCGCCGCAGAGGATGCTCGCAATGAGGACATGATGGCTCGTGAACGTTCCCGCCAGTAGAAAGCAGGAGGGCTATGTGAAGAGGAGGAAGAGAGGTAGCCACAGGAGGCTTCTTGCTCACGTCAACCAGCTTCTTCTTCTCCACTTGAGGCAAATCTCCCGATCTGGACACTTGGCGACATCGCCGATTTTCGGACATGTCCGAGCTTCCCTCGGCCTGTTTCCTCTTCTGACCGACAAAGCTTGATGAACGTGGGGAAGGCAAAAGATGCACTTTCCGCGTGGGCCGAGCTTCCGACGTGCGCCTAAGAAGGACAACTTCAACTGGCAACCACAAGGACTCCCTATCTCACCCCAAGACCATCACATCGCCAAACTCATACCGGATCATCAAGATGTCTGCCGTTACCCAGGAGTCGCTCGCAGCTGGCATCGAGTCGCTGCTCTCCTCGCTGCCGACTTCGCTCGAGACGCTGCCGGCCATCGAGCCGGCGCCGGCGGTGCCTACCACCGAGGCCGAGGTGGCTTCGCTCATCGACCACACGCTGCTGGCACCCAATGCGACGCTGGACCAGATCGAAGCTGTCTGTGCCGAGGCCAAGCAGTACCGCACTGCGACCGTGTGCGTCAACTCGTCCATGATCCCCTTCGTGGCCAAGCAGCTCGCAGGCACCGCGGTGCTGCCGATCTCTGTGATCGGCTTCCCCTTCGGCTCTGCCAACACGGCGTCCAAGGTGCTCGAGGCGCAAACGGCGTGTGCCGAAGGTGCGCGCGAGATCGACATGGTGAACAACATCGGTCTGCTGCGCTCCAAGCAGTACCTCGAGGTTTACACCGATATTGCGGCGGTCGCCAAGGAATGCCACGAGCACGGTGCCAAGCTCAAGGTGATCCTCGAGACGGCCATGCTGACCAAGCCCGAGATCGTCGCCGCGTCGTACATTGCGTGTCTGGCAGGCGGCGACTTTATCAAGACCAGCACGGGCTACGGCGGTGCAGGAGCCACCAAGGAGGATGTGAGGCTCATGTACGAGGTCGCAAAGACGCAGGGTCTGGGCTGGAACCCGAGCGAGAAGGAGGTGAAGGCAAGCGGTGGCATTCGAAGCCTCGAGACGGTGCACACCATGGTCAAAAACGGCGCCACAAGGGTCGGCGCCAGTGGCACCAAGGCCATCGTCGAGCAGATCCGCAACGGCGCTGCTGCCGCGCCCACTTCCGCCTCGGCATACTAATTCACCACGATCGCCGATCCTGTACAGTGTCAATGTCAGTGGGTGCACCTTGACGGCTGGTATTGCGAGTCCGGGTCTACAGCTTGGCAGCAAGTGCGTGTGCGGGTGATGGTGCTGCGTGTCGACCGACTTCTGTCCGCGTAGAGATGTGGCCGGAATCATCGTGAACCCACGACTGGACGCTGTCAATCAGCCTGTCGATGTCGCTTGTCGTGTTATCGGCATGGACGCAGATTCTGACTCTGTCCTCGCCCTTGGGTACGGTGGGATAGCAGATGGGCCTTGCGAGCAACCCGTTTGCGCGAAGATGCGCTGCGAGTTCGCGTGCGCGGCTCGTCAACACGGGCACGATGGGCGAGGGCTGCTGCATCGACCATCGTACAAAGTCGTCATCAGCTACCACTGCGAGCTGAGCTTGTTGCTTGGGCTTGAGATGTGGTGGCAGAGCGATCGTTCGCTTGGCAGCCGGAGATTGCGATCGAATGACGCCCTCCAGGCCGTCCACGAGCCTTCTCGCATTGCCAAAGGTAGCACGGGCCCTCTTTTCGGCCGACCCGTCTTGTACGGAACGGAACGCTGCGAGGATGGACGCCAGTTGGGGATAGCCGAGCGCAGTGCTGAAGATGAGCGGGCGCGCATAGTTGATGAGATAGTGCCTGGCGATCTTGCTGCAAAGCACGATAGCGCCTGAAGCACCCCACGCCTTGCCAAACGTCATGAGCCTGGCCGTGATGCGCGGATCGTCTTGAAGACCGAGCGCGTTGACGAGGCCTCTGCCACGCGAGCCGTACACGGCGGTGGAGTGCGCCTCGTCGACCACGGCGCAGATGCGGTGCTGGGGCACGTGCTGCGACAGCGTATCGAGCAGCGCACGCAAGGGACAAGCGTCCCCGTCCATGGAGTAGATGCTTTCGACGGCCAGCCAAACGTTGCGCTGCTCGCCGGGGGCCGCGCTTGTACCGGCAGTCAGCGTGCCATCCTGACGAAGCCGGCTGAGAATGTCTCGGAGGTGATCGACCGAGTTGTGGCGGAAGGGGATGCGAAGATGCGCAGGCACGCGCGAACGCCTCAACCCATCGTGCACCGAGGCATGGACGAGCTCGTCGTAGATGACGACGTCTTTGGGCTGAGGCAGTGTACTGAGGAGCGAGACGTTGGCCTCATAGCCCGAGTTGAAGAGGAGGCCTGCCTCCGACGAGGCAAAGTGGCGCGTGAGGTCGTCCTCGATGGCCTCGTGCGCGGACGAGTTGCCGTCCAGCAGCCGTGATCCGGCGCTGCCGAGCTGTGCCGAGAGCGGAGAATCCGATGCAATGATGGCAGCAAAGTCGGCGCGCACCCGAGACGAGGTGGCCAGGCTCAGGTAGTCGTTGCTCGAAAAGTCGACCAGGGGCTGATCGCTGGATGAGGATGTTGAGGCTGCCGTCGACGAGGTCGGGTAAATGGTGAGCTGGCGCAGCGTACCCTTGGCTGCTCTTCTGTCAAGCGCTGCCTGCAGCTCATCGTCCAACATATCGAGTGTGCGTTCTAGGAGTGGGTGATGAGGATCGGAGCAGGGCGGAGAGGGGAATTCGTAGATGTAGACGTCTATGGGGTGCTCTCCATCTATACGAATGGTGAACTTGCGAAGCCGCGACGATGCAGATCTGGCGAGATGGTGATCTGTGCTGTTGTTGGGGCGGAGGTGAGTCGTCGGTTGGTTGCCGGAGCATGGAGGTTGGGCGCGCGCTCGGCAGCGTTGGGAAGAATCGCGGCCAAACCCTGGATTTCGCAGCCAAAGATTGCGGGATGATAGCCGGCAAATCCACCGTCTGATTCGGGCATGTTTGTCGTTGTCGAATCGCTTTTTCCGGCACATTTTTGTTTTCAATTTCCGTTCGGTTGGTCCGTCCGCCGGTATTTTTCGCTCAGTCAGGCACAGCAGCAGCACTTGCAAAAAAGCAGTGCCGGGCGGTGATGCAAGCCAAGAGGGCGAGACGGCCCTCCACCTGCGCCTGTGCGTCAGAGCCCATCGGTCAGAGGGCACTCTGGAAGCCAGACAAGCGAGGCATACAAAGGCAAACGTGGTCCCCTCAACTCAGGGTCGCCTCACAGCCCAAAAGGTGGGGGAGAAAGCTGCCAATCCACATCCGTTCTTTTGGTTCGTCTTTTCTTGATTGCCTCCCACCATCCCAAGGCAAAGGCTTCATCACCGCCCGAAGCTCCTCCAGCTGACAGCCCGACACGGTCACTTTGAGCATACATCATCCTCTTGCAACGTGTCCGCAAGCGGTGCTCCATCTTGGCGGTTTCCGGCGTCCAAACATACGCTCTTGCCCAGCGATCTCGAAATGAGCGCGTCACCAGGCTACGACCCCGCATTTGCCTCGGCAGGCACGTCGCTCGCCCCTCACGAGGGCAACGCCGACGATGCCATCATCTCGAGCAAAGCCGCTCGAGCCAGCATCCCGCAGCTCGTCGATTCAGCCGACCCCTCGGCACTCACGCCTCTCCGAGCGCATTACCTCAAAAAGACGCTCATCCGCCTCCAGATGGAGAAGGAGGTCGCACAGCTCAACACCAAGGATGCGCTTTCCACCTTTGGGCCCCCCTTTCGTCCTTCGCCTCAGGCGCGCAGGACAGACCTTCCTTTGCTGCGTTTCATGTTCCAGCACTTTGTCCTCACCTTTCCTTTCCTCCGATCAGCACCTCCCAACTTCTTTGCGGACAAGGTGCAGGTGTTCTTTGACAAGTTCCTCGAGCGCAACATCAGCAGCACAGACGATCGCGACGAGTCGACAAAACGTCGTAGACTCACAAACAAGATCGAAAAATACTTTGTCCTTCTTCTCGGCTCCGCCATCAAGGTAAGGAACGTCGGCGAGGATGTCGTTCGCATCTCCGACCGTGACCGCCTCCGCATGAGTGCCGTCGAAGCCCGCCGCAAGGCTGCATTAGGACGCGCCGCCGCTTCCCCTCGATCCTCGTCCAAGCATCTTGACGTGCCCAGCGATGGCCGTCCCTCCTCATCCCATTCGGCCTCCTCGTCTACCTCTTCGCTCAACCAAAGTGCAGGCTTTGACATCAACGTCGTATCCGTGCGCAATGTGGTCACAAAAGGGAGGATCCGCAGCCGCGCTCACGAGGAATTTATCATCCGCACTCGCTCAGGCTACGGCCAGCCAGACATCTACGTCTCACGGCGCTACGGCGACTTTGCCAGGCTCGCAGAGACACTGCGAGTCGAGTACCCGGAGGAGGACGTCCGTCTTCCGCCTCCCAAGGATCGAACCAACACCGACATTTCAGACCCCTATCAGCGACCGTCCGTAGATGCCTCGTCATCAGCCCTCGAAGACGGCGATCCGCGTGCGTCGACCGACTCCAGCGGTCAACCACGCATTCCGTTGCCCACCGGTCCTCTCGCGAGGGAGAAGAACCGTCTCACACTACGCGCATATCTTCGTTCCCTTCTAGCAAGCCGCGCAGTGGCGGAGAGCGCCCTCCTCATGGATTTCCTGACCGCAGAACCCACCAAGCTAACACCGGCAGAGGAGGAGGATGCGGCCATCAGAGAAGGCCTCGACCACGTGCGTGAAGAAGAACACAAGCGCTTCGCCGACGAAGCCGCAAAACGTGCACAGGAGCTCCAGGCGCATCTCAAGGACTTCAAGCAGGACTTGATCCAGCACGATGGACTCACGCGCATCTTTGCCACCATCAAGTCGACCCCGCGCATCGAGGACCTGCCCGAAAAGTACAAGGCGCTGCTCAAGTGGGGCCGCATCAGCCTCGCCTCCACCATCTTCCAGATCTTCATGGGCAGCGACAACTCGTCCGAGATCTTTTCGCAGATGAAGCGCATGCATGGCATGATGCCCTACTTTATGCTGCGCGGCATCCTGCGCATCTCCAATCCCATGGCCATGGTCAGAGGAGTGCTCGACATCTTTCTGGCACAGCCCTTCGGTCAGCGTAGCTTGCTCCAGCGCATGTTCTCCAGCAGCCTGCAGGATGAGGTGCGAGAACTCAACGAAGTATGCACGGCCATCGCAGCCAAGGTGGATGACCCAGTCATTTGCGAGAAGGTCCGCCTCTTCGTCTATGCACCCTCCGAGGTTCAGGCTCTCTACCGCAAGGATGCTGACGAGGAGCGTCTCGACCTGCTCACCACCATTCTGCGCTCGCCTGAAGCCCCGTCGCTGGGTCGCTCGCAGATCCATCGCGTGGTCAAGGCGAGTCAAGCCTACGAGGTGTACAAGGAGTACCGGCGAGGACTCAAGAATCCAGATCTCGAAGACGAAGGACCCCAGGACGACGACGCCTGGTTGTACGAGGACCTGCATGTCTTGATCAAGATGCTCACGCGCAAGCGCGACAAGGAGCAGCTCATCTCGCTCATCTTTGAGGGTGTCACCGCCGAGCTGCTTAAGGACATGGTCACAATCTTCTATTCGCCGCTCGCCCAGGTGTACAAGCTCGCCAACATTGCAGATAGTCTCTCGGACCTGCAGGCTTTCATCACCGACCTCATCAAAACGGTGGAAGCGAACGAAGAGCTTAGCTACACGGACCCGACCAGGACGGTGCAAGTGTTTGTCGACTTGGTCGAACGGCATGAAGGACGATTCTACAACTTTGTGCATCAAGTACACTCGAAAGGCTCGGGACTCTTCGATGGTCTCATGCATTGGATCGAGCTGTTCATCAACTTTGTCCGCGGCAACGAACGCTCGGCGGATGCTGTTTCGCAGGCGGCGGGTCAAGCGGAGACCGACGCGGCGAAGCCTGCACAGCAGCAAGGAGGCATCGGCGAGGTGGATCTGGAAATCTGCATGCCTGCCGGAGGCGAGGAGCGCAAGCGGGCGCTCGACGAGATCGACTCGCTTGTGCTGTATGCCTACCGACTCAAATTTGTTCGCGAGCTCAAGCTGCGCCGCAAGCTGGCAGATCGCGAGGTTGCCGGTCTGGCTGGCAAGCTGATCGGTGCAGAGAACAAGCGCCGGACCGATGGCCTTACCGAGGAGGACGATTCTGCCTTCGTCGGCGCCATGGTCGAGAACCTCGGCGTGGGCGACATCTTCACGGGTGAGGTGGCCGATGCCGAGGCAGAAGAGGATGAGCTGGACACGTCGGACGAAGAGGACTCGGACGAGGAGGAGTTCGGTCAGGGGCGCGCGCATTCGGGCGATAGGCCGCCGCTGAGGCGTCAGTCTTCCAGCGACACGGATGCCGAAGGGGAGGAGGACGAAGCAGCGCCGAGGTGGAGACCAACACCATCCCGTCAGACGACGCTGACACCAGGAAACATGCAACACGCAACCAAGGATCTTCCGCCAACGCCGCAGGAAGCCAGGCCGGCCGCCGACGGCAATGATGCCGAAAAGACACGCAAGCGTCGCAAGATCCCAGCTCCCAAGGCACCGGAGCTCAAGGTGCTGCCCGAGATGCTGCCTCTGTTCGTCGAAATGGTGCGACCGCTGCTGCGTCCGGCGAGGACCGCAAGCGCTTCGAGCTTCCGATCTAATAGCTACGACCCGTACGCCCAACAGGCCGGTTCGGATCTGCAGATGCCTCCGCTGGCTGCCACTGGAAGCGGTAACATTTCAGGACTGTCTCAGGGCCTGCGCAACATGGACCTGGCTTCCACATCGTCGCCTACCTCCTACGTCTCGTCGCCTTTCTCTGGCCGTGGCGGGTCCGCAGATGGAGAAACGCGCCGTCAGGGATCGGGCTCGGACCGCCTTCCTGGCGAGTACAAGTGGTGATCTTCTCTGCAACTCCTTTCCTCGATGTTCTTGTTGTCATGCATTTTATTCACTCTCGCAACGCATACGCAATCCTACCATCATGTCGTCAATCACAGCTCTGCTTGACATTATAGCAGCGTGCGAAGGACTCGAGTGTGTAGCTCCTGTGGCTCCTTCGTATGAGGGGCAAATTTTAATGTTGTTAGACTGTACTTCGTGTCAGGAGCTTGAATTAAATTCCGCATGGCGTGCTCGACAGGCGGAGGAGCAGGAGGATTTTTTTCGCGAGAGCGTGCTCGGGAGAGCATGGGAGGCAGATCTTCCCGCCCAGAGCGGATCCGACGAGCTTCCGACACAAAGTGAATTCGCCGAGGCACACCGACTTGCAACCTTTCCTTCCTACGCTCGAGCAAGTGCATATAGACCATCCCCACTGCGCAATCACACTCGCTCGGAGATGCACGCGATGCTCAAGACAAGTCTCAGCTCGTCGATGCGGGCCGCCTCGCTGCCCCGCTCCCGCGTCGCCGGCTTCGCGGCCACACGCGCTTTGGCCACCGTCTCCGACTCGCCTGTCCAGCATGCTGCCTCTGGCTCCGGCAGCCACAAGGTGGTGATCGTCGGCGGTGGATCTGCCGGCATGGCTGTGAGCCACCAGCTCATCCGATCCGGCGGCTTCGCACAAGACGACATCGCCATCGTCGACCCGTCCGAATGGCACCACTACCAGCCCGGCTGGACGCTCGTCGGCGGTGGTCTCAAGGACAAGCGTGATCTTCGCAGGCCTCTCGCTTCGCTTCTCGACCCCAAGCTCAAGCACTACGCTGCTGCCGTCCAGGAGTTCGTCCCTACCCAGAACCAGATCACCCTCTCGAACGGCGACAAGATCGCCTACGACCAGCTCGTCGTCGTGCCCGGCCTCAGCATCAACTACGACACCATCAAGGGCCTGCCGGAAGCTCTTGCCGACCCTTCTTCGCTTGTCTCCACCATCTACGGCTACAACACCTGCGACAAGGTGTTCGACACCATCTCCAAGCTCAAGTCGGGCAATGCCATTTTCACGCAGCCCGCCGGTGTGATCAAGTGCGCCGGTGCGCCGCAGAAGGCCATGTGGCTTGCACTCGACCACTGGAAGAAGGCTGGCCTCTACAACCCCGCCGACTCCGCCAGCTCTCCCATCTCGATCGACTTTGCTACCGGCCTGCCTGTCATGTTCGGCGTGCCCAAGTACAGCGAGCGCCTCAACGAGCTGCGCCAGCAGCGCGGCGTCAACGGTCTCTTTGAGCACGACCTTGTCGCTATCGAGGGCAACACCGCCGTCTTTGGCCGCCCTGGAGGCAAGGAGCAGGTGCGAAAGCAGTTCGACCTGCTCCACGTCACTCCCAAGATGGGACCGCTCGCCGTGGTCAAGAACAGCCCGCTGGCGGATGGCGCTGGATTCGTTGATGTCGACCAGGGAAGCACGCGACACAAGCGCTTCGACAATGTGTGGAGTATCGGCGATGCGTCGTCGCTGCCTACGTCCAAGACTGCCGCTGCAATCACGGCCGAGGCGCCCGTGCTGGTGCGCAACCTCGGCCAGGCGCTCGAGGGCAAGGATTCCGATGCCGAGTACGACGGCTACACCTCGTGCCCGCTGCTCACCGAGTACGGCAAGGTGATGCTCGCCGAGTTCAAGTACGGCGGCCAGCCCAAGGAGACGTTCGGCAGCTTGTTCGGCATCGACCAGGGCGTGCCACGCTCCGCATTCTACCACCTCAAGAAGAGCTTCTTCCCTTGGGTGTACTACAACTCGTACGTCAAGGGTACCTGGGCCGGACCCAAGGGTTTCTCGTTCGGTTCGGCACCCATCAGTCCTGCAGCTGTCGCAGCCAAGCGTAGCTTCTCCTCGAGCTCCCGCAGCGTCACTATGCCTGGGTCGAGGAGGGGATTCGCGACCTCGAGTGTCGGGCTGCGCAACACGCCCGCGCGTCGACCGCGTGACCCTCTGGACGCCTCGCCCGACGCCGTCCGCCACACGCTTCCCTCGGGAGAGACATTCATTGTCCGACCACCGCCGACCGCCAGCACACCGCGTTCGACGATCTACCAGCCGCAACCGCTTCTCTCAGCAGACCCTCTCGCGGAAGGTGCCGAGGCGTCGCTCCCTCCTGCGCTGCGCCCGCGCTCTCGCAAGGCGGCCAGCGACGAGGCCATCACGCCGCAGCAGATCGCGATGATCCAGCGCCTGCGTGCCGAGGACCCCATCCTCAACACCAAGTCGAAGCTCGCAAAGGAATTTGGCTGCAGCCCGCTTTTCATCTCGATCGTCGCGCCGCTGCCCAAGGAGGTCAAGGCGGCCAAGAAGGAGCAGGATGAGCTCAAGAAGCAGTCCTGGGGTCTCAACAAGCGCGTCGCCCGTGCAGAGCGAGAAGAGCGCCGCCTTCTCTGGTAGGCTCACTTCCTCTGCTAGGCCTTGGGTCGCCCCGTTGCACATCCGATGTCCTAGCTTGTAATTTAGTAATCTGACAACATCACCTTTGGTCGCAACGTGAGCTTCTCGCATGGTGTTTACAACCAGGCATACAGTAGCATGAGGTCCGAGAGAGATACGGGATTGAAGCAATGAATCGCTGGAGAAAATGAGCGCAAGCAACAGCGTATATATATGCTACATTCGGCTCGGGAAAATACGGACGGCCGCTTGGCGTAGTGGTATCGCGCTTGCTTTGGGTTCATTAGCGCGAATGCAAGAGGTCACGAGTTCGATCCTCGTAGCGGCCCCTTTGTCCAATTTTTGCCTTTTTTTTGGGTCTATCCGGATGCAGAACAACGAGGAGAGTGCGCTCCGACTTTTTCCTTGCAAAGTTGATCAGAAAATGGACGCGTAATGGTGATTCCAAGTTTTTCGAGATGGTGTAGTGGCCGTGCTGTGCTTCATTTTTTTGCTGTCTCTCCCACCCTGCTGGCACCAATCGGAGCCTGACCTGCATGCAACGTATGCACGCCACAATCTGATAAGAATCTGCTCATGCGCTTGCAGGTGCTAACTTGGTGTGGGTGACTCGTAGCATTGCATGCAGCTAGCACGCCAGCAAGACCGAAATGTTGCGAGCCTTAGGGCGCCCTCGGCCTTTCACGATTGGCGCGGCGCGGCCAGCCAGCCGGGAGGAGAGCGGAGCCTGCGGCGACCTCCACACGAGCCCAAAATGACACTGCCCACACGCACAGCCCGGCGACGACCCTGCAAGCACCCTGAGACTTGCATAAGACTCACAACCGGCTGAGCCGCGCACCCCTCCAACCTATCCGCACCTCGCTCAGCAGAACCCTCCTTATCAGCATTCACCACCGCGAACTCTCTTCAACAACCTCAACCATTGCTCAGCGACACCTCTCTCACTCTCTCCCACTCAACCATTGACACTCTGCCTGCTGGACTCGTGGATAAGATGCTAGCGAGAACAGCGCGCCTGCGCCTTCGTGCAACGCTGCCTGGTGGAAGCCTCACACGCAGCTATGCTGTCCCTGTCAATCCCTCCAGCTCCGTAGATGCACTTCTCGGCACGTCGGTCCCACCACCGCCGCGCGAAGGGCAGGAGTTTGAACCTGCGCCCGGCACGTACGGCACTCCGCCTCGATTTGGCAGCAAGAACCCCAACGACATCTCGGATCTTCTGCGCGGCCTTAGGCCCCGGAATCCTACTGGATCCACCCAATCGAGGGGCAGCAGCTCCAACCATGCCGATCTCCAGCGCATGAAGGGCTCCGCCATCGGCGCAGAGCGGAAGGGCATTCCGATTCCTTCGCGCGACGAGATGCTCGACGAGATGTTCAAGCGCCCTCTGAGAGAGCTGGAGGACAGACGCAACATTGTCGATCGCGAGCATCCGCATCCCATTGACGCTCTGTACGGCCGCAACGAGCTGGACGAGCGTGTGCTTGCGGCGGCACGAGCGCTCTACGCTGCCTCGACCAATCCTGGGCCCCGTTCGGCTGACGCAGCACACACGTACAAGGCAGCGACGATCTCGCAGCTGCTCGAGAGGTTCGAGTCGAGAGCCGAGTACCAGCTTTCGATAGAGCTGCCGTACGAGCCAACACCGTCAGGCGACCGCAAGGTGCCGCTCACCTCCGCACACAGCTCCGAGGCCGAACTGCAGGATGCCAATGACGATGGCGTGCTTCTGCTCGCCTACGTGTCCAACTTGAACGGAGGCAGGGGAACGGAGCGCATCAGCGTGTGCTCGGCGTTTGCGGTCGAGGGCGGCGACAAAATTTCGGCAGAAGACGGAGACGGTACCGGTGCGCTGGTGGTATCGTGCGCACACACGCTGCGGGCATCGCAGCCGCGCAAGCAGGGTGAGGCATCGGATTCTGCGGCCAAAGCCGATGCTGAGCCTTCGGACACCATCGCGCTGGCCATCACTCGCACGGGCGCCATCTATCCCGTTCGCACGCTGATCAGCAGTTTGCCAGCGTCCGATGTCATTCTGCTGCAGCTCGGCGGCACTGCGCTCACGCTCAACGGCACGGGTGCGGGCAGCATGCCGATCCGCACGCTGCCTGTATCGCCGTATCCTGCGCACGTAAACAGCGAGCTGTCGGTATCGTCGTTCTGGGGCTGGGAAGACGACTCGGGCGCGATTCTGCCGGCGTACACGTTTGACCCGGATCGTCAGGGGCTTGCGCTGTCCGATCGCGCAGTGTCGCCGCCACCAGGCCGCGAGCGCGAGCAGGTGAAGCTGGAGCGCGACGATGCAGGCCGCAGCCGATGGGGCCGAGCGAGGCTGGTGGAGTACAAGGACCCTTGTGGTGCGAGTGCGATGGTGGGCACGTACGACGAGCTGGCGCAGTTGGACTACAAGCTGCTCGTCTCGTCGCCTGCCAACCCGCCGGCGTTGCAGGGCGACTATGCGCTTCGCATGTCGAGCACCGTGACCGAGTCGGCTCGACCAGCAGCCATGGCAGCGGGCGGTACCTCCAGCGCGGCAGGCCAAACGAGCGTCATGCAGAGCCAGACACGCAGACCGCTACCCAACTTTCCACCACCCGGCTCGTCTGGTGGCCCAGTGGTGGATGTCGAGTCCGGCAGCGTGGTGGGCATTGTACGCGGCCACAAGATGAGCGCGCTCGAGGGAAGGAGAGGCGACGCCATCCCCGCCGAGAAGATCTTTGAGTGTAAGTCCAACCCCGACGCAAAGCGACCATGCTGCAGATACTGACGCACTGACATCATTGGGATTGCAGTCTTTGCACTGCCCGGTCTGGGCAGGAAGAGGGTCTAGACGGCATGCACGGCGCTCACATTCATCATGGTCAGGTCTGCTGCTCGAATTCATTTTCAAGTCAACAGTGTGGTGTGAATGCTGGTGAAGGTGATCTGGCTCTCTAAATTGGGTTACATGGGTTTCGAGGGAGGTTCTTTGAGAGCTTAGACCTTGCAGAAAGCCGTGACACTCATGACGCCTGTGAGAAAGAGAAAGTCAGTGGCCGCTTGCATTCCGAGTCAGCGACGGCTAGGATCCACTTACCGCTCAGCCAGAGGCCGCCGTTGTGCTTGTCCCACACGGCGGTGGTGGCGCCCGACATGCCGCTTCCGTCGTCCTCAAGGAGCTTCTCGACATTCCACTTTTTTCCAAAGAACTGGTCCTTGTCGTAGTTGCGGCTGATCTTGAGCACGGTGGTGGGCGAGGCGACGTTCTCGGGGTCCTTGAACTTGGCGAGCAGCTTGGGCACGTTGGGGAAGCTCGCAGTGTAGATGTTGTCGTCCTCGTCCACCGTGATGTTGTCCGAGGGATAGCCGGTGTGGATCACGTCGATGAGCGTGAGCGTGTTGTCCGCCTGCAGCTCAAACACGCGGATGTTGGCGTCCGCTGATGCAGGCACGTAGATTCGGTTCGGGAACTTGGCACTCTGCACTCCGCACAAGTTTTAAGACGTCAGTAAGAGTGGTCATGATGAGCTCGGTGTGCGTGGGAGCGAACTTACTCGAACGAGGCCGTTGGGATAGTAGAACGGACCCGGGTTGGCGATTTTGCAGCCGGACTTGTCACAGAAGCCGAGGTCGCTGCGCGAAAGGAAGAAGTCGAGGATCCTTCCTTTGCCCGTCTTGGTCTTGTGGTCGTTGGTGAAGACGAAGCTGTCTGGACCCACCGCGGCTGGCCTGTTGGGTGTGCGGACGGCTTCGCCGGCGTAGGTGCGGACGTGCCTCATCCTGCCCTCGCCGAGCGTGGTCTCAAAGAGCTCGAAGGTCGAGTTGGCGCCTACCGTCTTGGCGTCCACGACGGTCTTGGAGACAGGGTCGATGGGAGGACGGTGGTTGTTGACAAACACCCTCAGCGTCGGCTTGAGCTCGGGCGATTTGGCAGGGATCTCCCAGACCGAAAGCCCGTGCAGGTTGAGCGTGTCCGTATAGCCGACGGGCTTGACCCTGGTGATGCGCGAAGCGATGGGTCCGGAGCCCTTGGTGTCGAGGATGGCGATGTGGTCTGTGTTGGACCGGCCAGTCACGTCGAGGTTGTCGACGGCCGGAAGCCAGGAGAGACGGCTCTTAATGTCGGAGCACGCGAGGTAGAGCAGACCGGACGGGCGGTGTAGCCACATGTCCTCGCACGCCTCGAGCTCGGGGATCTTGGTGCAGGGGCCGTGCGAGGTGTAGTTGAGCGGACGGCCGAGGCCGAAGACGTCGTGCGCCTTGGAGCCGGGGCCCGAGAGGAACTGGTAGGCCAGCGCGGCGAGAACGATGGGTAGACCCACCCACGTGAGAAGGCTCGGCATGATTGAGAATCGCGAGCGGGCGGATGGTAGCTATGATGGCAGGATGGGCTTGATGAAGTCTGAAGGGACGATGGCTAGGGAGGGTGCGGATGAGTTTTACGCGGTGGATTGCCGAAGTGCGGTTGGTGCGGAAGCAGCACGAGCGGAAGCAGCAGCGGCAAGAGGCACGAGGACTGCATTCGCACAGACCACTCTACGCCACAACAAGCAAGCGTCTGCTGCACATCCAGACATGAGATCCCGCAAGCCCATCTTGCTCGCACTTGCTCGCAAGTGCGCAGCTCCGCATCAAGCTCGCTTGATCTGAGATCGGAAGCGGCGCTCTTCTTCCTTTCCGCACCGGCTACCTGCGGCCCGCAGATTGGCAATTGGGACTGCAGCTTTTCATGCTTTCCCCGCATTTTCCAGGCGTCGCTCAGTCTGGCGACATCGGTTCGAATTTTGACAATGTTACGCCGCTGCCAAGTTGCGTGTCCAAAATGAGCAAAAGTGGAGGCGCTCATGCAGAGTGACGCCTGGTTGCTGCGCCTCGAAAGAAAGTCAGCAAGTAACTTATAGTCACCGAAAGCCAGGGCACAGCTTGAGAAACCGACGATCCTCGCGACCGATGCCGAGTTCGCCTCGGGGTGCAGTGCCCTGGTCTCCGACCGGCTTCGCCGATGCGATCGTGCAAAGGGTCCGAACCCTGTCGCGGCCTGCGCTGTGCCGTGAGAGCATCGATTGCGGATGCGCTCCAAAATCCATCGGCGTCCATCGAGAGGATGCCGAGCGCGGTGTGGCTTGCGGGTTCGCAGCACATTCACTTCATAGCACATCAGGCGTTCTCAGGTGTGGATCAGAATCAGAATCACAAGGCTCAGCAAAGGCGTGCCGTGTGCCCTCTTACTCTCCTCCCCTTCTTGGCGGTCACAATTCCCATGCTCCCTTCCTAACATCATCCTTGGCTCTTTCCTCTTGCGCCTTGCGCCAAAATGCCTTCCGAGGATCCCTCTTCATCTCCACCATCTCCGTCTGCAGTCCAACCTGTCCTCGATCCTGACCAGGCAGCTGCCATCGGAGTTCCTCCGGCTTCCGCGTCCGCCGCCATGCAGCCCTCCGATCCCGAAAAGCCTCAGGCGACCGACCCTGACAGCCTCAAGCTCGAGCAAGACGTTCAAGAGCAAGCGGCCGGCCGCTTGGCCGACCAGGACTCTGTCCCTGCCCCGGCAGCCGCTCTTGACCACGAGGCACACCTTCACCATGTCCCCAAAGCCGAAGTCGCTCCGGAGCGCGTTACCGAACTTCCCGGAACACAGGACGAAGTTCCGGCTCCCGCTCCAGGCGACCCTGACCGTCCTATCGAGCCCGAGCTCGAGGATCTTGGATGGAGCGAGCAGCCCAACGTGCCCATCCCTGTCCTCAACGGCATGAAGAACGAATCGCTCTGGCTCCTCGTGCGCCGCTTCAACAAACAGACCTATCGCGTCAAGGCCATCGAGGGCAACGCCAAGAGAGACTTCGACATGTACATCAGCAACGAGGAGCAGTTTCAGCCCGATAAGCTCAAGGCCACCTTTGAGCGCTTCTACGTCAACGTCGTCGTCGGCACCGTCGCCTTCATCCAGCACATCGCCCGTCTCCGCTCCTGGTCCGAGCCCAAGCGCACCGGTGGCTTCATGGTGGTCTACGTGGCTGCATGGCTTCTCGACGTCATCGTTCCAACCATGCTTGCATTCATGATCGTCCTCATCCTCTCGCCACGTGCCAGACTCTTCATGTTCCCTTCCGCTCCCCTCGCCGCCATCGATCCCAAGACCGGACAGGCAAAGGTACCTAAGGCCGGCCACCTTGGCAGCAAGACCAGCTTGACCGGTGCTGCCGAGACATACGAGGGTGAGGCAGTCGAGCAGGAGGCGTCCAACTTTGTCGGTGCCCTCGGCAGCGTAGCCTTAAGCACAGCAGCTGGCAAGTCCTCCAATGACGGCGTTGTAGCTGCCCAGGACGAGGAGGACACGGATTCGGATGAAGACAGCGTTACCGGCAAATCGAACGCCGCTGGTCGAAAGGGCACTAGCTCGGCGCCCAAGAAGGATCCCGAAGACAAAATTCCGGACCCCACCAACGTCGCCGCCGTCACACAGGCAGCACAGAGCAAGGCCGCGGGCGAAAAGGCTGGACAACCCGAAAAGGGCGATCACACCAAGAAGCCGATGGAAGAGGCCATCTTCGCCAGCCTCGCTCCTTTCATGCACATCCTCAACAACATCTGCGATGACTACGAGCGTTTCTGCAATGCGCTTTCGCCCACACCCCCATTCTCGCGATGGATGCCGCGATGCCGCCTCGCGGGCGCCATCCTTCCGGTCCTGCTCGCCTCCCTCTACGTCAACGAGACAATGATCTACAAGGGATCCACGTTTGGCTTCGGCTTTGCACTGTTCGGCCAGCCGCTCATCGACCGCGTCAAGTTCCCACAGGTCATCGCCTGGCTCGACCGCAACGTCCCGGACTGGAAGAAGTATCTCGAGCTCCGATTTATGCTGCTGCGTGGCGTGCCCACCAACGCCCAGCTCACCGTCACGCTGCTGCGCATCGGCGAGGCCAACAAGTCTCCCCTACCTCCGCCGCCGCCCACGGCCGTGGCGCCTCCACCCAGCGCGCTCCACGGATCCGACATGGCCGATCATCCGGATCTGCCGCCCGAGTATGCAGAGCAGCTCGCCGAGGCGCAGGCCGACGATGTCGCCAGCCGACCCGAGGGCGAGCACGAGTCGGCGACCGACCCCAAGGCCGGTAAGAAGGGCAGCAGCAAGGTGCTGGCCGTGCTGAAAGGCGTTACCAAGGCGGGCGTCGAGACAGCGCTTGGCGTCAACCGCGTCAAGGCGACCACGATCCAATCCATGCACGCCAAGGCCAAGCTCGGCGTGGTCAGGTCCGAAGAAGCCGCCCAAAAGTATGCCGCCGACGGGCCGGTCAAGTTCCACTGCCGCTACCGCGGTAAGCGCGGCTACGCCTACGTCCTCACCACGGCAGCAACGCCGTCGATCGCGTTCGAACGCAAAGGCAAGACCAGTCCGCTCTCGGCCGCGGTGGCGGCCAACAAGGGCGCGAGCTCCACTGCTTCGGCAGCCGAGACGGCCCAGCGTCTGGTCCAGCAGCGCGGCGCGAGCTTCGCGATTGCCATCGATGAGATCGCCGAGATCCACAAGGTGGGCGGCCTCGGATGGAAGGGCAAGCTCGTCGTTGGCTGGGCACTGGGTGGCGAGGTTGCCGACGGCATCGAGATCCTGGATAAGCAGGGCAACATCCACAAGCTCACGGCCATGGGCCGCCGCGACGAGGTGTTCAACCGCCTCATCGCGCTGGGCAGCCAAAAGTGGGAGGCATTCTAGCTCTCGTACCCCGCAGCCACCTTTCTCGTCTCGCTCTCTGTGTATGTGTATTGCACGCAAATGTCCCTGCATCGTGGCGATTTCCAAATGCGTGTCTGTGGCTCCGATGACGCTGGTGTAAGTGACTGCCGTCAAGTTGGATGGTCTAGATGCCTCCAGCGCCGCTTGCGCCCCAATCCCACAGCCACTCATCCAGATCGAAGCGGACTCTTTTGGCAAGTACGGCGACGACCGAGTAGCTGACGTTGGTCCGGAAGTTGATGCTGGTCCCGAGCTTGTCCTGAGCCGAAGTTCTGACGAGCATCCTTCTTGAGACGAGATTGTTAATCTGCGAATAGACCGATAGCGACTTGCTCCTGTACTCCCACAGTGTCGATCGGTCGCCGGACGCATCCACGTTGGACGCCGACAGATCGTTCTCCGGAATCAACGACGAGTAGACGAGCGACATTTCGGGTGCCGACTCGGTGATGAGCGCCTGGAAGATACTCAGCAGCCGATCGATCGGGAATGGCTTGGGCCCGAGAAGCTGTTGTCGATTCAGATTCTCGGTTTGACCGTCCTCGTTGGTCACTCGCAGGGCAGATTTGGCAGAACGTCCACGACGCCCAGCTCCAGCTTTACGCCCGCGCCCGGGACCCAGCTTGCGTCCACCCTTGAGCGATTTGCCCTTGGATGCACCGCTGGACAGACTGAGCAAAGAGTCGTCACGTAGGAAGTAGCGCACATCCAACCGCGACGGATTGTACGACGCAAGGAACGAGGCGATGACAAGGAACGTCGGGATGAGCGCGAGCGAGGGCATCAACGACATGGTGGCGTGGGAAGATGCTGAGCGCATTCGGTCCAACGCCGCCATCTCGCGCTCGAGCCACTCCTCCTCGTCGAACTTGCGCTCCTCGTCGACGATGCTCGCATCCTCGTCCTCCGCCTGCTCTGTGGTCGAAGCGGCTTGCGGTGCTTTGGCGGCTGCGAGGCGCGCTGCACTCGCCTGTATGCTGCGAATGCGCGCTTCTTGCGTCCACTCTCTTGGGCCCACTTCGCGAGTCTGCAGTCGCACGATCACGTCTCTGAACAGGTGGGACGAAACGAGGAGCAGCGTCTGCAGATCGGCGGTGCTGCACTCGCGCGTCTGGACGGGGACGACAAACGAGTGCCAGACGGCGGCACTCATGGTGCGCAGCTCCTCGATGTCCCGCACGTTGGACTTGATCGAGTCGTAGAAGACGCCGACAAACTGCTCGTACAGCACGCGCAGGGCGTCCTGCGAGACCTGGTCCCCCGAGTTGGCCTTCTTGAGCTTGGCGAGCGTGGCGCGCTTGCACAGCGCGTTGGACGTGCCAGCGTGCATCTGCGCCGCCTGCACCGAGCTGTCGTACGATTTCCAAAGCAGCGGAAAGTCGAGGGCGAGTAGAGACAGGACGTCGGGCCGTGTGAGGCGTGGGAAGCGCAGCGTGATGGGCCGGTGCGAGACGGTGAGGCCGCTGGGCGTGCGGTATTGCGCCCAGGGCAGCGTCGAGATGAAGACAGTGGCGATCTTTCCTGGCTTGCCTACAAGCAGTGCGAGACGGCAAAAGGCAGTCCAGACATGCTCGGGCCAGAGGTCGCGGATGCGCTCGGCGTCCTTGATGACCACGATGAGGCGTGCATCGACGGTGTCGAGGAGCGTTCCAAGCTTCCAAAGAAAGTAGTCGAGCGAGGTGTCGGGGCGGCGAAAGTTGCCTCTCGACCCGGAAGCGACGGCTTTGGCCGTGTCGGTGCGTGTTCGATCGTGAACTTGCTGGATGCTGTGCTCGAGCGAAGTCAGGACGCTGCGGAAGAGCGTCGTGGGATTGATCGAGGTGAGTGGAGACACAGTGCACCAGCAGAGCGGGTGAGGAGAGTCCTGTGAAGCTGAGGCCAGGTCGTCGAGCACATCGGACACGAGCCGAGCGGTGGTGTTGGGGCTGCATGCGTCTTGAAGTAGCAAAGACGGCGGCAGAGGCTGACCCGCCTCGCCCAACAAACTTGTCACCGCGCCAATCTGGTCGGATCTGCCGGCATGCTTAGGGACAGCCGCGCTCATCCTGGCTTTCGAGGAGGGTGCTTGGCGAATATGAATGTGACGAAGGAGGATAGAGGTTGGATCGAGCAGGTGATCCCTCGGAATTGCCGACCAGCAGGGCAAGCGACGCTCAGACCCGCGGCAAAGTCACACTCGCGAGGGTCCACCAACACCTCAGAGGCTCGCGCGTGGCGGGCAACTGTGAGATTTTTTCGGGTCCCCTCTCAACAGGGTGGAGGTTTTGCATTTTGAAGTGTTGCTGCTTGGCTCCGCCTCGCTTCGGAAATTTTGGTGCGGTGGATGGTGGGCTCCTCGTTCGATCCTCGTATCCTCCACGACTCATGTCAACACCCAGCCAATCGTGAAGCTGTCACGCACATAGCATCGGGCCCCCCTTTCGCCCATTGTCTTGCACGTGTCCTGCGGCACTCGTCGTACACTGCATTCAACATGACAGTGCTCGCAAGACTTCGGCCGCAGGGTTGCGCGTTACGGTCAGCAGCAGCCACTCGTTCGGGGCTGCCTGTCCCCGGTCCCAGCAGATCCCAGACTCGGTCTCTCGGCTCGATCGGTATCGTTGCTATCCCGCGAAAGCAACCATCGCCAAGATCCAGGCTTGCGCCAGCATGCCGCCATATGACCTACGACTTTCTCAACCGGCCAGCCCCAAGCAGCCTTCCAGAACAAACGGCATCTCCGCTCGATGAGATCACACGCCTTCGCGAGCTCATCAATCGCGCCAACTCGACCAACTCCACTCTGGACAAGAGGCGCGTCGTGTCCGAGTTCGATGACCTCAGGCCGCTGCTAGCCTTCCTCTACGACCCCTACTGCCGTCTACACGTCACTTCCGACTCCGTGCACAAGTATCTTCGCCAAAGGAAAAAGGACAAGGAATGGCTCAACGAGCAAGCTCCCGTTCTCACCGCTCCCTCAAATCGCGCCAGAAACAAGACGCAATATGCAGCCCTTCGCGACAAGACGGAGCAGGACGCTCGAGAACAGATGCCAGAAACGCTCTTGGAGCTCTTCTACCTCTTGGCCTCCCGTCAGATCACTGGCAACGAGGCCATGGCAACGATTCACGTCTTTCTTCAGGATCACGGCATCCTTGAGCAGCACGAGTATGCCTTGAGCGGCTCCGACGATCCCAACCTCTCCACCACAGACCTCTTCCGCCGCGGTTTGCTCCGCCCGACCGCGCTGGAAATTTTCTACCGCTGTCTCGACCGCAACCTCAAGGCCGGCGTCCGTGAAAAGACCATATGCTATGCATTCACCGGGCATGAACCGCATCGTCCAAACTACCAACCGAAACTCAAAGGACTTCCGGAGCTGCCGCCGATGTCGCCCACGACGGCAGCCCTTCGCCAGCAATTCGAGGTGGCTCTCGGCAACACGCTCTTCCGAGCCCATCTTCCAACCTTGTTCTCGGGGCAAGACGCATCAAAGTGGTACGCGAGCCGGAAGCTCGACGGCGTCCGCTGCATCATCATCGTACGTCTGCAGCCCGAGACCTCGCCGAGCGGATCGCAGACGTGGAAGGTCATGTCGATCTCCTCGCTTTCACGCAACGGTCGGCCCTTTTCGACGCTGGCAGTGCTGGAGCGTGAGATCTCGACAACGGTGACGTCCTTCCCTGGCTTGTCTGACTTGCTCGGTCCTCTTTCTGAACGAGACATTGCAAGCTCTGCGAACGAGTCCAGGCCGTCGCCCAAAACCACCCTGATCCTCGACGGCGAAGTGTGCGTGCTCCGGCCGCCTGACAAGGCATCTAGTCCTGCCGCCAAGCAGTTGGATGCCAGCATCACTGCACAGAATGCCGAGCCCGCGAATCAAGAGCTTGCCGTGGTGGAAGACTTCGCCGCCGTGGTGGGCCTGATCAAGCGCAAGGAATACACCATCCCCGACCCGGCGTTCTTCCCCTTTGACCTGCTCACCCTGGAGGAGTTCGTCAAATGGCGATCCAGGCTTCCGCCGCCGCCGCGCAAGACGGGCGTGCGCAACGCCGTCACCAATGGCATCAATCCCAGCAAGCAGAAGGGACGTATCTTTTCCGAGCGACTCGCCGTGCTCGAATCGCTCGTCTCGCACTTCGAGGCCGCGTCAGCCAAGCGCAATCAGCCGAGCCTAGTGCGTCGCCTGACGCAACACTCGGTCTCGACCCCGGAGCAGGTCGAGGAGATGCTTGGGCTTGCCAGTGAGCGCGGATGGGAAGGCATCGTGCTGCGCAAGGACATGGAGTACGAGGGCAAGCGTACGTCGGCCATCCGCAAGTTCAAGCAGTGGCGCGATGCCGAGTACAAGGTAGTGGGCATCACCACCGCCACCATGCGTCTGCCCATCAACGGACGCTTCGAGGAGCGAGAGGCACTATCCGCTATCCAGATCGTCCACAAGGGCACGCGCGTATCCGTCGGCTCTGGATTCACCTCTGAACAGCGCGTCGAGTTCGCCAGAGATCCCGAGAAGATCATCGGCAAAGCCGTCACGGTCGAGTACTTTGACGAGTCCAAGACGTTCGCACCATCCAACGCCAAAGGGAAAAGAGACGGTGATGGGGGAGAAGAGCGTGACGAGGTCTACAGCCTGCGCTTCCCGCGCATCAAGCACATCTGGGGTCAGAAGCGAGACGTCTGACTCGATGCAGTTCATGCGCAAAGACACCACTCTCTCATGATCTCGTTATAGCAAGCGACGGAAAGACCGCACTGGAAGCTGAGCACAGACGCGAAAACAGACGTGGAAGTGACTCCGGTATATAGCAAACTCGATTCTTTTGAGATGAGAGAGACGAGAGCGCAGAGGTGAGGAAGCAAAGACGTTTAGATCTTGGCCATGGCGGCGACGTCGGTGGACTGGACGTAGTCCTCGCACTCGTCGATGATGCGCTCCTGGAGCTCGTCGAGCGAGACCTTGGCGTCCTCGACGACGAGGGAGCACTGGAGCTTGCTGACACCGTAGCCGATGGCGACGAGCTTGGTGGAGCCCCAGACGAGGCCGTCCATCTCGATGGCCTTGACGGAAGCCTCGAGCTCCTTCATGTCGGTCTCGTCGTCCCAAGGCTTGATGTCGAGGGTGACGAGCGACTTGGCGGCGGGGCCGGGGCCCTTGGCGGCCTTCTTCTTGTTGTACTCGGCAACACGCTCGGCCTTGATGCGCTCGGCCTCCTCGTCGACCTCGTCGTCGGAGCCGAAGAGGTCGACGTCATCGTCGTCCTCGGCAGCGGCGGGAGCGGCGGCGGCGAAGGTGGAGGAGAGGAGGGTGGCGGCCTTGGCCTTGTCACCGGTCAGGTCCTTGTGCTCAGCCTCGTACGAGGTGATGTGCTCGTACCAGCGGGCGACGTGGGCGAACTTGTCGGCGTCGGGGGCCTTGCCGAGAGCCTCGTGAACGGCGACATCGGCCTGCGAGGGCGAGTGGCTGATGATGAACGCAACGAAACAAAGTCAGCAACGTTGTCCCTCTGTGTGCGAGCGATCTTCTGCATGGCTGGCCGCACTGAGTCGCCGCGAACATGTGCCTCCCTCGAGGCTCCATCGTCCATACAAAGTGCCACGAGGACGGTGTTTGCATGGGAACAAGATCAGATAGCTTGGAAAAGTTGGGTTTCGTCAACGCAGAAAAGGTCGCGGGGTCTTAAGCCGCTGGGCTCGGAAACACGGACCAAAGCAAAATATTCATCATGTTGTTCGAGCAGGGTGCACGCCGTTTGGTGTACGAGCGTCATACTGGCGGAGCGTCTTCCTAGACATGCCGTGCGACGCGAGGCTTGCTTCAGGTCGGCAAAGCATGTCTGAGATGGAAAGCTGCGGCCTTCCTCCTGTCCTCCGTGGTGCGACTCAGTGTGGCGGTGTGCGAGAAGACAAGTGCAGAGGTGGTGCTTACCCGTCAACGTAGGACTTGTCGGCGAGGTAGCCGTCGAGCTTGGTGAGGTTAGCAGCCTGGGAGAAATCGGGGAGCGACATTGTGAAGTATGGGTGTGGGATGTGGTCGGTGGAGACGATAGTGCGGGCTCCCGCCACGGAACAACACTCGCTCGCCACAAGCCTCAGAGCGTCAGCGCAGCCAGCGTCTGGGGCCCGTCCGCACCAAAGCGTCCACGGCTCAGGAAGAAGGAAGAAAAAAAAAATTGGGACCCACAGCGCCGAAAAGTGAAGAAAATTCAGGCAGGGCGCCCTGCTGCTGCTGCCTTGCTGGAAGCCCCGCTCGGCGCTGCACTGGCCACTTCGCGCCAACCACAGGAGAGCTACACTCCTTCCTGCCTCGAAAAAGGCGCACAACTCCTCGCCCGGCCAGTGCTTGCAGGTGGCTGCTCTGGCGCGTGCCCAGCCCAAGAAAATTCAGAAATCGATTCGCCCACCCACCTGTGGCCTTGGGCCTTCAGCCTCCTTCTAGCAACGGCCTCTCAAAATAGCGGCCTCGCCCGATCACAGCCATTGGAGATTCTGTGCACGTGCCGACCATATCAAGATGTTCCTGCTGACGACCTCACACGTAGCAATTGACCGCATCCCGAATTCCGACTGCAGCCCTCAGACGCGGAGAACACGCCAGGGTCGCGGTCACTCGGTCGGCAAGCAGCAGCAGCAGCAGCGGTGATGCCGACGAGCAGCAATTCCCAAGAGAGCGTCGTGGCTCGAATCTGGAGAGCCTCCGCAGACAGATGCGAACACGAGCAGCTCGAGGATGTCGTCCATCATCTTCCTCCTCTTCAACCAGCTCCCTCTCCTCCAAGTGCAGTTGCTTGCCTTGCAGTCTCATCGCTGTCGGTAGCAAGCTTCCATCCGCAGGCAGCCGCACACATTTCAGACTAAAAGTACCACCACACCGCGCGCAACGCGCAACGCCCATCCTCCCTCGCGCACGCTGTCCACCTCCAGCAACCCTCACCCCGCTGCGTGACGACCAGCTGCGCCTCATCCTTCAATCACCGCCGCATCGACATCATCTTTGGCATGATGAAACAGCAGTCCGTCGCCACCGCGTCCGCCGCAGGGCCATCGAGAGCCCAGCCATCCGCTGCGGCCAACAAGCTCGGCGCCAAGAACAGCACGGGCATCGGCGGCTTGCCTGGCGGCGTCGTTGGTCCAGAAGCAGCCGGCCTGGATCCATCCGGTCCCGAGCATTTCTTCGTCACCCTCGCTGCCTATGCCGATGCGCTCGATGCGCTGCCGCTCGACCTCACCCGCAGCTTCTCTGACCTGCGAGAGCTCGATGCGGTGCTCGGCTCGCACCTCAACAGCCTGACAGCGCGTCTCAACCATCTTACCGCGCTCATCGAGGATCCCGACATCGACCAGGGCCAGCGTCTGCTTGCGCTCAAAGAAGTCGCCGAAGAGGCGCGCGCCTACAAAATGGGCGGTGAGGACAAGATCCGTGTCGCACTCAACACCGCCGAAACCATCATCAGCCATACCGACTACATCGATGCGCTCGACAGCCAGCTCGACCGCTTCGCCGAAATTTCGGCGCTGCTCAACCCCACCAAGCACCTCAAGCTCGAGCAGTACTATGTGCCCGGCGCCCTCAAGGACCGCAAGCTCATCTCGGCACTCGACAGCCACACGGGCGCAGCCGGCGGCGCGTCCGGCGCCGATGCCAACGGCGCATCCAGCTCCAAGAAGAAAAAGGTCGCTCAGATCGCCGCAGCAAGCGCAGCGGGCGGCAAGAGCCACCGAGCCGGAGATGCAACCGCGGTCTCTGGTTCCGCTGCAGGAACAGGCGCTTCTTCCAGCAGCAAGAAGCGCAAGGCCATCTCGGGTGCGGCGGTCGGTGGCTCAGGCTCCAACTCCAGCTCCAAGGTAGCCAAGACGGCGGCCTCGGGCAAAGGCGACGACGACGTCAAGTCGGCCGCCAACGGCTCGAGCTCGCACAAGAAGAAGACCGAGGGAGGCTCAAACGCGGGCGCGTCGGGATCCAAATCTAGCCAGCTGGCCAACAGCAACACGCGTCTGCCGCGCGCCGCGCATGCGCACAGCGGCTACACCGAGGACGACGAGGACGGCACGGGCGCGCGCAAGGACGGGTCGCGCCGGGCGGTGGGTGTGGATGCGGACGAGTCTTCGGCGAATCGCAGTCGCAACAGTCGTTCGGTTCGAGCGAGCGCGGCCGCACAGCGCAGCGACGACGATGACGACGATCTGGACGACGGCGATGCGGACGAGGAGGAGGAGGCGCACGCGCGCTCCAACACCAAGAGCCGCAGCCGGGCCGGGCGCACTGGGGCGAGCAACTCGCGCGCGCGCGGTGGTGCTGCCGCTGCCAACTCGCCGCACACGGGCTCCACGTCGGCCAGCCGCGCCGAGAGCCCTTCGTCCACGGCGGGTGGCGCGGGCGACGACGCCGACGAGGCGCGCTACTGCTTCTGCAACAACGTGTCGTACGGCGACATGATCGGATGCGACGACGACGACTGCGAACGCGAGTGGTTCCACCTCGGCTGCGTCGGCCTCACCAAGCCGCCCCAGGGCACCTGGTACTGCGAGGCCTGTCTGGAACGCAGGGCCAATGCGCGCGCCGCCAAATCCAAGAAGTCCAAGAGCTCCGGCGGCTCCAAGTCCAAGGTTCGCCGCTAGTGCACCCCAGCTCTGCTTTGTTGTGCTTTACTGTATACCATCTTGTTCCCGTTTGTACTTTGCGCCGTCCACCAATCCGATGTCTCTGCTCCGTCCGGCGGGTGTCTGTATATCGAATCTGGTCCAAGGCTGGATCGGCGATACGGGTTGGGATCGGCGACTTTGGGCGTGGGTGCGGCGAATTTTCGGGGGATTTCTAGGCGGCCTGGCGTCACCTGCAGCGACATGCCGAGGATCGACTTGTCGGCCATTTTCGCACCTTGGCCCCCAAAGAACCATCTGTCGAGTGGCAAGTTTCGCAACACTCTAGCCGAACCTCTCGCCGTGCGTTTTGAGCTTCCAGGGTGAGTCGACGGCAGAATCAAGCGCTGCCGAACAGGATCGCCCACGTCGTCACTCGCTCGCATGGCTAGCATGTGACAAAGTTTGCTCCGGCCGCCGTGAATTCGATGCAAGGCGGCCAGGGGCAGAGGCCAGGGTGTGCCGCAAACCGTTTCGTGGCGGTTCGGGTTGGGGATCGATGAGGCCGATCCGATCCGATACCAGTCCGCGCACGGCCAGGGGTTCAGAAGCATAGAGCTCTTGGAATCTCCGCTTTGAGCAGCGACAAGATTCGGTGGCGCTTGCGGTGGCGCTTGCGGTGTGGTGCTTGCGACAAAGTTCTCCGTAGCCAGTTTATACGCTCCCCGCCGGGCCCCGCTCGTATCACATATAACCCCAACCTCCCTCATCCCTTCACTCGCCCTTCACCCCTGCCAACCCCTTTACCACACATCTGCACAAAGATGACTTCGCCAGCAGCCTCTCCTCCCTCTTCGGTGCCCTCCTCGCCGCGCAGGAGTCTGTTCAGCCTTCCCGGGCTGGGCAAGAAGAACTACACCCCCTCTTCGGCTGACGGCGCCACCACGCCTGGCGGTCACATGACCACCATTGCGCAGACGCCCATCCTCGAATCGTCGAACCCGCTCGAGAAGGCGGTTGTGCCCTCGGAGGCGCGCGAGCAGCAGATCGTTGGTGTGCCCGGCGCCAAGCTCGAGAACGAAGTGGCCAAGATCCTGATTGCGCTCGACGGCACCGAGGCGGGCGACAAGGCATACAAGTACCTGCTGGAGAACAAGCTGCTACGAACCGACAGCCACGTGTTCCTGTGCACGGTGCTTCCCGCCAATGTCATTTCCACACCCTGGGTCGCCGGACCGCTCACCATCGACACGGAGAAGCACAACGAGCTGCTCAAGCAGATCCGTGCGCAGGCCATCGAGAAGCTCGAGCCGTACAAGGCACAGCTCAAGCAGAAGGGCTTCAACGTCACCATCCACGTGCTCCACGGCGACGCACGCGCAAGCTTGCTCCGCGTGGCCAACTACCACCACGTCGACCTCGTGCTCGTAGGCAAGAGGGAACGCAGCTGGAAGAAGGGCTTCGGTTCGTCGGGCACCGTATCGAGCTACCTCGTCTCGCACTCGACCGCACCCGTCCTCGTCATCAAGTAATAGATACCTCCCGACTCTCACCCCACTCGCCATCAATACCTGTTCGATAATTCCACTTGCGCACTGCAACGCAGGAGTGTGACGCCGTGAGAATTGTGCTGGAGAGCATACGCCAAACGGATACCAAAGATACAATAAGGAAACATGAGAGAACGACGGGTGTGATCTCGGGACAAAAGTCTGCGGATCGGTCGTGGTGGAGATTTGCTGATAAACTGCGAAAGTGTCGACGGGATGCAAGATGCGAGGCTACTCTAGTGCTCCCTTCCGATCTGGAGCCAGCGTGTGTCGGGGATGATGTTGCCCTTTGAGTTCTTCTTGACCTCAAGAGCGCCCCTTCCCCAACCAGTTCCAGTGACGCGTGCGTCCCAAGGCAGGTTCTCGGGGTACAGGCCCTGGAGGCCCGAGTTGGGTGCGGGGCACCAGTTGAGCAGATCTGCGATCTCGGGTGCCGAGCTCATGTACGGGTGGAATCGGCGCGTGGGATTTCGCTCGATGCGCTTGTCGCGCAGCCTGCCGTGGCATCCGTACATGTCCTTGTCAAAGAGGTTGTACGCCTTGACCTTTTCGCCGCGGTACTGGAGCTGCGACTCGGCTTCGCTGATGTCGTCGTCGACGCCGACGTACTGGAAGGTGCGCTCGCCGTTGCGCAGGAAACCCTGCGTATTCCACCGCACCGCCTTGGCGTGCAGCTCCTCGAAGCGGCCCTTCTTGAAGCCATAGCCGACGACCGTGATGCGGCCCGGGTAGTGGCCGGTGTACTCGCGGAAGCGCGCGATCGAAAACAGCAGGTTCTCGAAGCTGTCGAGCGCAAAGTTCTCGGTGGTCATCCTAGCATCCTGCAGGCCGTGCAGTGTGGCGACGGCTGCGTTGGCGTGTGCGAGCTGACCCACGGACGAGGAGCTGGAGGAGGACGACGACGACGAGGAGGTGGAGTTCGAGAGGCTGCCGGCGATCATGGGCAGCTCGAGACCTGCGGATACGGCGAGGGAAAAGTAGGATTCGGCTTCGGTCTGGAGCGAGTTGGGTCTTGTCTGGCCTCCGGAGAAGATGAGGAGAGCGCTGGGGTCCTCGTTGGTGAGCTGGAGGCCCTTTTCGATGTGCTTGTAGAAGGTCTTTACGCTTCCGCCCTTCTGATAGTCCTCGAGCACCCAGTTTTCGTCTCTGTCCTTGCCCTTGATGTCGCAGCCGGCCCAGATGGCGTGGCCTGTGACGATGACGAGGTGGTTGAGGTGGTCGGTGCCGTTGCGTGGCGGTGGGACGCTGTTGCTGAGCTGGTCGGGAGTGTAGCCGTGGAAGGACTGCCAGGAGTGCAGGCCGAGTGGTGGCGCGTTGGTGTGGCGCGAGAAGAGCATGTAGCGTAGGTTCATCAGACCCGAAAGCGCGGCGAATCCGAGCAGCAGCACCACGCCGAGATTTGTCACTCTGGAACGGGCCGAGAGGCGGTCGTGGAGCGAGACGCCGCCGGGCTGGCCACCGCCGCCATTGAGTGCGAGCGAGATGCCCGACTTGCGTGCGCCCGTCAGGAGCGATGTGGATCCGGACGCCTTGGGCACCATGGCGATAGGTATAGCGGAGGTGAGTGGTTGTTGCTCAAGACGAGGGTGAGAAGGAGGCAGTGTGCAGAGTGCAGAGTGCTGTTTGTGGAGCCATCCCCGCGCCCATCCTTCGCAGCAATCACGTTTGTGCTGCTTTGCTGCAGCTGCGCTTGTCGCCCTTCTCAGCTGGAGAGCCTGCCCGCCCCACGCGATCCCAATTTTAGCCTGCGGCCCAGCCGTTCCGTCTGCTGCCTCTCGCCCGTCTGTGCGTGCGTGTTCGATTTTTCGAACCGGCCTTCAAATCAGCCAGCCAGCCAGCCAGCCAGCCAGAGCGCGCACCCACTTTCACCTCGGCGTTACTGCTCTCAGGGTGCATACACTTCCACCCGAACGCCGAGCCCAGGATGTCATCCGCAACCATCCACTTGATTGCACAACGGTAGCCACTCGAAAGCTGGCCGTATCCGTCAGATTTCATTTGCCCTGCTTGACATAATGGTGCCATTAACCATCCAGTGACTTGCCTTTGACGTGCGTTGGGCGCCAACATCTTGGTTGCCGCACGCTCAAAGCTTTCGCAAACGGACCGCGAAAAAACGAATTCCGCGCTGAAACCGAAAAGAAATCAAGGCCACGAAACTCGGCACAGAAAATAACAGGGGCTGTTGTCTCTGACGACGTAACACCGTAGAGCCTGGCCGCACCTCCACACCCGCATGCACGGTTGCCTCAGTCAGCCCTGCTCGACATGCATCCTCTTACGCTGCAACACATCCACCCTCGTCGAGAGCCACCAACCACACCACGTCGCGCCAACGACCATGTCAGATATCCGTCAAAAGAGCATCGACTTTCTCAGCGACTCGATCGCGGCAGCCACTGGTGGGCAGGCAGCCGACTCGGCAGCCCAACAGCTCGAACAGGCCATCTACGACAAAGCGGGCCAGTCGACGTCCAACGACTACCGTGGCGAAGTCCGTAGCATCGGCCTGACACTCAAGAAGGACAATCCACAGCTTGCGCAGGATGTGGTGCAGGGTCGCATCGCCCCAACAGATCTCGTCAACATGTCGCAAGAGGTAAGTCAACTCAGGTATGGCCAGAAACGGGCTCTCCTCTTAACCTCCATTCTTGAGTGCTGTGGCTGCAGGAGATGAAAACCGAAAAGCAGGCGCAGGAAGATGCCGAGCTTCGGCAACAAAACCTGGACGCGTCCGTTGGTGTGGACGAGCTGGATCCACAGTACGGCACCATGTCCACCTCGCAATCGCGCATGCAAGAAGAGGCCACCTACGGCGAAGCAGGCGAGGCCTCGTACGACGGCGGCGCAGAAGGCGAATTCAAGGCACGAGCCCAGCCCAAAGTCGGAGAGGCCATGCGCGGGATCGAGTTCGAAACCGGCGGCCTTTGACATGTCCACAATACTTCACACGCAGCTGTACGGCAATCACAACAGCCACCGCCGGAGTCCTTTGAGATGATAGTACAATTGAGTCGTAGCTCCGACGGCGAAAGCTCGTCGTTTCGGTGTCAGATAATGCTGCAGAGAGGTACAAATACAGGTGGTGGAAATGCAAGTGGGGAAGCTGATGGGATCCAAGCAGAAGCGATCTCGTCTCGACCCAGCCATGTCGGCCCCTTGGTATCGTTGGGTGAGGGTGTGTCGCCTTTTTACATGGGGCGACCGGCAGCTGCGGCAGCCGCTTGCGCGCGCGACTCGGCCAGCTTGGCCTGCTCCTCGGCACGACGCTTCTTGCCTTCTTCCGCGAGGATCGCGAGCGCGTCGTGGTCGATCTTGGGCTCCACGTGCTTCTCGTAGTTGCCCGCGCTGAGGTTCTTCTCGTACGCCTCGCCGATGGCAGCGAACAGCTGGTCCAGGTTCTCGATCGCGTCACGCAGCGCATCCAGAGCCGAAGCGCGGTCTACAAATCGCATGATCAAGAAAGCAAGCGTGGAAAAAGAGTCAGCGAACTGCATCATTGTGGCTCCGTTCGACGACGACGATGACGCTGCCACCGCTTCGAGATGCACGCCTTGGACCATAAAGTGGCTCAGTAGGAACGATTGTACAAGAATCTAAAAAAATCTTCGTCAAGCTCCACGCAACCTGGCAGGCTGATGGGCACGTACGATCCCTTTTTCTCATCTCGGCCGGCCAAGGCGATGGCGATCTCGTGCGGTGATGTGCGTCGTGTCGTCCTTTGCAGCGTCGCGGTGCGCGAACTTACCATACATCTGGACGCGGAGGTGGATCTTGTTTTCCGAAGGATGCGGGTTGCTGTAACCGCAGAACTCGACTCGGGGGCTGTGATCAGAACGAAGAGCAGCGGTACGTCAGCGTCTTTGATTCCAACCGGTTCCAACGGTATCAAGACCATTGCCAGTGTCGCCGGTCTTGCGAGCGACAAAGCCTCAGCAACGAAGAATTCCATTATTGTATTTCCCCCACCACTACTATGTACCAATGCGACTTGGCCAATTCGTGTAAAGCACAATAGTATAAAAGTATCATCTCGGTAGCGTCGTCGGATGCAAGGCTGGATACGACACTGGCAAGGTTGTACGATATGGAAGCGACTTACTCTTTCATGATCATGTATCGGAGCGAGTTGCCGAGCGTGTGGTCCTCCTCCTTGAGGCAAAAGGTAACGGCGGAGAAGTCGGGCTCGTAGCCAGGAAGCAGGGTGAGCTTGTCGGCGATGGAGGCAGGACCATCTCCCATCACCTCGGCGAGGTTGGGGTTCGACATGTTGCCAAGCAGTGCGAACCAGCGACGGATAGAGAAGGGGAAGGGTGTTGAGGTGAAGAGGGAGGATGATTGAGCTCGTATGGCGGTTGGTTGCCTCGAGACTGACCCAAAATTTTCGGAGAGCACTTTCTTCCAACACTCCACCTTTTTGCCGCCTCGGGTAGCTGATCGAGGGCGAGTGTTTTCGCACGAGAAATTGCACCGCACCCGATCGAAATGGGATTTTCCGATCGAAAATCCAGGACGGCTGGCCGGCTGGCTATCGGCGACGGCGCGTCTTGGACGGTCGGCGCCGACGAAGCAGCACCAGGCCAGTGTCGGCTGAGCTCGATCCTGAGCAGCGCGCGCGAGTGGTGGCAGAGGGTGGGAAAAGGGAGGGAACAGCGTGTCGTGATTCGAGCTCGAGGCGGCGCCAGGGCAGAGGCCCTCGAATCCCCAAACTGGCGAGGCTGAGGCTGAGCCCTCACCCAGGCCCTTCACTGGGTTCGCCTCGCCTCGCCTCGCCTCGCCTTTGCTCAGGGAGCTGCGAAGCGTCCGAAAATCGCATCGACATCCCATCCTGCTTTGGCCTGCCCTCCGCCGCAACTTGCAACCGCGACCGCGAACGCATCCGCCTCTGCCACTGCATCCACCTCGCAATCCCAGCTCGAACACGCTTCGCATCCAATATTCCTTCGTGACTGTTGGTCTCGTTGCGTAGCCCCCCCGTTGTCACCGCCCACGCCGCCATCGACGCCACGGCTCTCGCCAATCTCGGCATCGACCCCACCGTCCTTCACCTCGGCCGCCATCGCCGCACCCACCCTCGCCATCCATCCCGCCCGCGACCGCACGATCGTTCATTCATCCGCGCTTTCATCAGCCGCGCGCCGAGTCGACGTGATCCACCTCGATCTCCTAGTCATCACTACCTCCGTCCATCCATCACGCTCCTTTCATCTCGACCGTCGCCGCAGCGACCCATCCCGCGCCGCGCGCATCACCAGCTCACCTTGGCTCCCTCCACGCCACGCAACTGGCAATCCAATCGAGCCCGACGCGACGCGCTCTTCCTACTCCTTGGCTGCTCGAGCACATCTCGCCTCCTCCTCCTTTGCTCGTAGAGCTCGCCTCGTTGACGTCGCCGGACCATCGTCATGTCGTCCACCATCGCCAACGGCGCCACCAACGGCTCTGCGCCCAACGGGCAGCAGCCAGCGCTCAGCGCGCAAGCACAACAGATGCTCACAGGCATGACCAAAGAGAGGCTCCACGGCATGATCGCCCGCATGCAGCAGCTCAAGGCCAGCGGCGTCAACGAGTCCACCAGCCAGGAGTACGCAACTCTCGTCAGCACCCTCAAAATGTTCCAGCAGTACCAGGCGATGCGCCAGCAACAGGCCGTCGCCATGCAGGCGCGAGCTGCCGGTCAGCCCCAAGCTCGAGCCTCGTCGACAGCACAGCAGCCATCCGCACCCTCACCATCGGCCACCGCCGCCGCCGCCGCCGCTACAACGCCAGCTGCCGACGCTTCCAGCACCAACGGCATCGTCGTCAAGACCGAGAACGACATCGCTCGCTCCCTCAGTCCCGCCAATTTTACACCTGAGCAGCTGAATGCGCTCAAGACGCAGATCATCGCCTTCAAGCTCATCTCGCGCAACCAGCCGCTCCCCTCGCACCTCCAGGAAGCCATCTTGGCCGCCGACCGCGAGTCCGAAGCTCAGGACGCCAAGAAGGCCGAGCCGCTCGCCAGTGCAACACAGGTCGCCGCTGCCGCCATCGCTTCGGCCGACAAGAGCACCACGGACGACGCGAGCAAGCCCGGCTCGTCCAAGGAAGGCGCTGCCGACGCCGCCGCCGCCGCCACTAGCAACAGCGCAGCCGAGAGCATCGCCGAAATCCCGAGACCACCAAGTCCAAAGCATGACCCGAGCAGCTCCATCTACCCGTACAACGCCTACGTCCATCCCTTTTCCTACATTTCCAAGCCTCTGCTCGAGGACGAAGAGTACACCGCCACCAAGCAGCAGCGCCTCTTGATACCCAGCCTCATGCCCGCAGGCCTCGAGCCCCGCCTGTTGTTGGAAGAGCGCGACCGCTTCGTACAGGCGCGCATCCGCCAACGTATCCGCGAACTCGAGTCCTTCCCCGCCGACATGTCGCAGAACCCCACCATGGCGAGCCTCAAGGGCAAGGAGAACGCGCACGACCTACAATCCCAGCTCAACGGAAGCCTCCAAGGCGACAATGCCAAGTTGAAAGCACTCATCGAGCTCAAATCGCTCCACCTGCTCGAAAAGCAAAAGCAGCTTCGCGAGCAGGTCGTCCAGAGCCTCAACCTCGCCACCACCCTCGGTCTCGACCGTGTCGCCTTCCGACGTGTCAAGAAGCAGACGCTCCGCGATGCACGCATGACCGAGCAGCTCGAGCGCAAGCAGCGCGTCGAACGCGAGAAGCGCGCTAGGCAAAAGCACATCGACTACCTCAGCACCATCTGCAACCATGGACGAGACCTCGTGTCGGCGCACACCAAGGCCAATGACCAGGCACGCAGATTCGGTCGCGCCATGCTCAAGTTCCACGCCGACAGCGAGAAGGAAGAGCAGAAGCGAGTCGAGAGGATCGCCAAGGAGCGTCTCAACGCGCTCAAGGCAGACGACGAGGAGGCCTACCTCAAGCTCATCGACACCGCAAAGGACACGCGTATCACCCACCTCTTGCGACAGACCGACGCCTACCTCGACAGTCTCGCCCAAGCCGTGCAGGCGCAGCAGAACGACGACGTCCACGCAGAAGCCATCGCCGCAGAGCGTCAAAACGAAGACACCTCCAACCAGGAGATCGGCGTGGCGGTCGACGAAACCATGTTTGGCGCCACGCGTCAGGACGATCCGAGCGAAGACCGCGGCAAGGTCGACTATTACTCGGTGGCACACCGCATCACCGAGCGCGTCATCCAGCAGCCGACGATTCTCTCGGGTGGCACGCTCAAAGAGTACCAGATGAAGGGTCTTCAGTGGATGATCTCGCTCTACAACAACCGTCTCAACGGCATTCTGGCCGACGAGATGGGTCTGGGCAAGACCATCCAGACCATCTCGCTCATCACCTTCCTCATGGAGTACAAGAAGCAGAACGGTCCCTTCCTCGTCATCGTGCCTTTGTCGACGCTCACCAACTGGGTCAACGAGTTCAACAAGTGGGCGCCCTCGGTCTCGACGCTCGTCTACAAGGGTACGCCCAACGTGCGAAAGCAGCTCACGGGTCGTCTGCGCTCGATGAACTTCCAGGTGCTGCTCACCACCTACGAGTACATCATCAAGGACAAGCACCTGCTCGGCAAGATCAAATGGGTCCACATGATCATTGACGAGGGTCACCGCATGAAGAACACGCAGTCCAAGCTCACCATCACGCTCACGCAGTTCTACACCAGTCGCTACCGCCTCCTTCTGACCGGTACGCCGCTGCAGAACAACCTGCCCGAGCTGTGGGCGCTGCTCAACTTTGTGCTGCCCAGGATCTTCAACTCGGTCAAGAGCTTCGACGAGTGGTTCAACACGCCCTTCACCAACACCGGCAACGAGGGCGGCATGATGCTCAACGAAGAAGAGGCCCTGCTCATCATCAAGCGTCTCCACAAGGTGCTCCGTCCCTTCCTGCTGCGTCGTCTCAAGAAGGACGTCGCCTCCGAGCTGCCAGACAAGGTGGAGAAGGTGATCAAGTGCAAGATGAGCGCGCTCCAGCTCAAGCTCTACCAGCAGATGAAGAAGCACAAGATGATCCTGTCGGGCGAAGACAACAGCACCGCCGGCAAGAAGGCCAAGCCGCAGGGTATTCGAGGTCTGCAGAACGCCATCATGCAGCTGCGAAAGATCTGCAACCACCCTTACGTGTTCGAGCAGGTCGAGCTGGCCATCAACCCGACCAAGGAAAACGGTCCCGACCTCTACCGTTCAGCAGGCAAGTTTGAGCTGCTCGACCGCCTGCTGCCCAAGCTCTTCGCCACCAAGCATCGCGTGCTCATCTTCTTCCAGATGACTGCCATCATGGACATCATGGAGGACTTCCTGCGATACCGCGGCTTCAAGTACCTCCGTCTCGACGGTTCTACCAAGCCGGACGACCGATCGCAGCTGCTCAAGATGTTCAACGCGCCCGGTTCCGAGTACTTTGTCTTCATCCTGTCCACACGTGCCGGTGGTCTGGGTCTCAACCTGCAGTCGGCCGACACGGTCATCATCTACGACTCGGACTGGAACCCGCATCAGGACTTGCAGGCGCAGGATCGAGCGCACCGTATTGGTCAGAAGATGGAGGTGCGTATCCTACGTCTCGTCACGGAGAAGTCGGTGGAAGAGACGATCTTGGCGCGAGCGCAGGACAAGCTCGAGATCGAGGGCAAGGTCATCCAGGCCGGTAAATTCGACAACCAGGCCACCGCCGACGAGCGAGAGCTGCTGCTGCGAGCCATGTTAGAAGCCGACAATGACGACGAAGACGAGGACGACGGCGACTTCAACGACGACGAGCTCAACCAGCTGCTCGCGCGTGGCGAGCACGAGGTCCCCATCTTCCAGCAGATCGACAAGGAGCGCCAGCAGAAGGACGAAGAATTCTGGAGGTCCCTGGGCTACAAGGGCAAGCTGCCGGAGCGCCTCATGCAGGAGAGCGAGCTGCCGTCCGTGTACCAGCAGGACTTTGATGCGGACAACGTCTTGGCTGAGAACGCCGAGGAGGAGCAGCCGACGACGCGTAAGAGGAACGTGGTGCACTACGACGATGGCCTTACAGAGGACCAATTCCTGCGTGCGCTGGAAGACGACGACGTGGACATCAACGACATTGTCGAGCGCAAGCGTGAACGCATCGAGAAGCGTCGCGCCAAAGCGATGATGCAGTCCTTGGACTCGACCGAGGGCACGCCAGATCCCGAGACCGGTCGACGCAAGAAGGGCGGACGCGGACGAGGCATCGGTGCGAGCGAGACGCCGGAGCCGTCGCCCGGACCGTCGGGACGCAAGCGCAAGCGCTTGGGAGTCGCCTCCATGGACGGCTCGCCCGACTACGAGGAGAGTCCGTCGGCAGCGCGCATTGCGCAGCCCAAGCGACGCAAGACGGGCGGCGAAGACGACGTGCGCGACCGCATCAAGTATGCGCTCAACCAGTGCTACCGCGCGGTCGAGGCGTGTCTGGAGCCCGAGACGGGCAGGAAGAGATGTCTGCTCTTCCTCGACGTACCGAGGAAGAGCGACTATCCGGACTACCACGTCATTATCGAGAAGCCGATCGCCATGCGACAGATCAAGCGCCGGATCGACAACCGCACGTTCCGACGCGTCGACACGTGTCGCGACGAATTCCACCTCATGGTCCGCAACGCAAAGACGTACAACCAAGAGGGCTCGTGGGTCTACAACGACGCTGTCGAGCTGCAGAAGGCCTTTGATGCGACCTACGACATGCTGTGCAGGTTCAGCGGCCTGCCCGGATCGGAAAACGAAGGCGAAGTGCCAAGCGGAGGCGGCGAGACGCGGGATACCTCGGTGGCAGGCGATGACGACGAAGAGGGAGATGAGGACGAAGAAGACGAGAAGCCTCAGGTCGCCGCGCCCAGAGGCATCAAGATCAAGCTGGGCAAGAGATCCAAGCCCAAGAAGGGAAAAGAGTCGGATGACGACGAGTAGTGTAGCAGTCCGGACTCAAGACCTTCTCACACACACAAAAATCCCCCATTTATTTTCGTAACCCACTGTTTCAGGTGGTTGTCTTTCAATGATTAGGTCTTTCAAATTCCACGCCAGACTGTCCGAAGGCGACCGAGGGCGACCGATGGTGAATGGTCTGAGATGCTTGATGGTGGACGGTTGTGGATGCTGTAATGCGGTTGCGGTGTCAGTCTCGACTGGCGAGTTCATTGTCGTTGACCCGTCCGACGATGAGTCGATCCTGTCCGCGGTCTCGAGTGGCAGCGATTCGCCTCACGATCCGTCGGGCGATTGGCCATCCGAGTCGTCCTCGAGTGGCTTAGCGGCCACCTCCAATCACGCCGCCTATAGACCGCCAAAGCGCCGACGGACGCGATGATGATAGCGTTGTCGTGAAGACGCTCGATACAGCGACTCGTCGACAGTGTCGCACGTGGCATTGCGTCGCCGCACCTTCTTTTCGCCACGTCGACCTTCCGCCCCACGCTCGTCTACTCCGTCCCGTCTTGCCTCGTTTCTGTGTCGCGTTCCGAGTTTCGTGTTTCTTGTTTCGGTCGGATCAGACGCAGGCGGAGCCCTCGCGGCTTTTCATTGCCGCACATGTACCGTAGTCTCCGTCTCGTCCGCAAAATTTAGTCGTTCCGATTGATCGATACTTTGAGGTCTGCGTGCAACGTGTTTGGTGAACTGGCGACGCACGAGTGGTGCGTGCCGTGGGCCACGACGGGGACGGCAGTCGGCCGAGAGGACGGGCGCGGGCGGCACGACTATGGCGGGTCTTTACACAATGTCATCGCATACGCGAACACCATTAGTCGTCCGGTTCCGGGCCGTTCCGCTTCGGTAGACGTCCGCCCGACGACGGCAATAAGCAGGGCCATCTGCTCCAGGTGACAACAAACCTATCAAGGACAGGGCACTTGCGCCTCGCCCGGCGATGTCAATAAGCAGGGCCATCTGCTCCAGGTCACAACAAACCTATCAAGGA